AGACTCGCACAGGTCCCTATGCTGTGCGTGCCGGTATACAGCAATGATGCAAAAAAAGACATTGTTACCACGTTTTCAGCACATACCGCGGACAAATCGAGGTGTTTGCCCGTCATATTACTATTGGGATACGAGTGGGATAATAGTAAGATGATATCAATGGTTTTACCCTTGGATCGAAAACGGCCCTAGTTCCGTTGTTTTCCTTGCTTAATAGGGATACTATTGGAATGAGAATTGGATAGTAGTAGGATATATTAATGGTTTTCCCTCTGATAATCAAACATGGCTTGCTGGATAATTGACCATTAACAGATGATTATCCCAGCTATAAACCTCCATTTAGTGTAGGGACTTTCCAGCTAGCCATGTTTGATGACACCGGAAGCGTCGAATGATACGTTCGCTGGGGCCTAAAAAAAGCGATAACAGTGGTTGATATAGTTTGGGTGAATTCTATGGTTTACCCTCTGGTAATGACCAACAGTTTGCTATTGAAAATACCCTATTTAGTTTGTTGATTTACTTGTTAAAAATGGTGATAGAATCTTTAGCAAATTGTGAGTTTACCAGAGGGTATAGTACATACATCGAACTCATGGGGGTTATAAACCAACAAATATAGCTTGAGGGCAGCACCAGGGGTTGATTCACCCAAGCTGTAGGCCTTGTAGGCGCACCCGTTCAGCTATACTTGGTGTACTATAATTGGATAATGGGGAAACCAACCCGACTTCGGAAAATTGACACATGTAAATGAAATATGGAAAACATGGAACATATAATGGAAAATCAACTGTTTCCCTACAGGACGTGATCTATCACTTGGGGATGGAAAAAGTGCCGTTGATAGATCATGTCCTAGAGAAACAGTGGATTTTCCATGGTATATGTAATATTACCATCTGGTTACTCAACAAATCTGTGGAAATCCATTACCAATGGAGGTTTTAAAAGGACAATCATTATGACTGTCCATATAGTCGGATTTTCAGAATTCCAACTGACGAACACATATTTTTCAGAAGGGTAGGGTTCAACCACCAAGCAGAATATTATATCTTAGTTTCCACGAGGTCAACCACAACTGGGAACCGCCTATTCGATTTTTTTTGATGTCAACGGTGATGACGCGATGCCGCATATAACGACATACAACCAGGCCAATTATGTGGATGAAACTTATTGAAAGTAAGCGAGCCTTGATTCAATGAGTTGGCTTGATGTGTTCAAATTCGGGACAGAATTGATTCACTCTGAAATGTAGGAGCTTCAACCAGACCTTATCCCTTAACATTCCTGAAAAACCAGTTTTCTCCAGCTTGAAATCGTTTGTTCGATGGGCAATGGAGTCAACTAATTGCTTTTTAGGTGGTTGTACAGTATGATCCATTATGTAGCCAGGTTTCTGCAAATAAGCTCCAGTTACTACTGTCAGTTGGCTAACTCAATGCCCCATCAAAGTACCTTCCTAACATTTGGGTCAATGGTGTACACCACTGGTCATTTGATCGAATGGTGGTATGGGATGCCGAAGACAAAGCCACAGCGAAGCAACCGAGCCTTGCAACTCGAGATGATTCCAACGCAAAAAAAATCGAATTAGGGCGGTGAAACCATGTTGTTTGGCAGCCAGATTTGAAAGGTACGGTTAGCTATAGTCTCTTTACCAGGTTTGGGAACGTGAAGCCACCAAGGAAATCATCTTTCAGAGCGACAGAGACCAAAAACCATTGGATCCTTCTGGAAATGCGGTAAAGCCACCAGTTTGAAGGCACTACATCAAGCTTGATTTTGTTCATTATGAATTCAAGTAGCTTCTCAAAACGGATGGTCAAGTATCTTCTTAGAAAGCATTTGGGTCCAAAGGGACTATATGGGGGTTTCTTAAGTTATGGGAGATCCCCAGTCGTCACCATGGTTTTCACTACTAACATGGAATGAATTGGATGATTTGTGGGTGCCTCCATGCTTGAACACCTCCATACATTCTTACTTATCATGACTTATCTGGATTTCTGATAAGCTGACGTACCTGTTGGATACTTTCAGGTTTTCGTCAGAGCCGGGTAGATACAATACAGGTCACCTTGTCCATGAAGAATTATACATTGTAGGCAGTATCATCCCCAACCTTGGATAGGTAGACACTAATCCTTTAGTATTTCGCTATAATGGGAAATAGACTCTAGGCAGGACCAACAAAAGATTATTTTTTTCTGTGAGCTAAAGATTGGCCATGGTATTGTCACTGCACAAGCCTCAGTGGTATGCAGACAGGGTCAGCGAATCTTTGCCGGGACGATTGCATGACAAGTATGGCAACGGCTCCGCATAGAATTGCCCCAGAATAACCAGGCAAGTAGTGCGGATTGGGCTCATCTCCGCATGAAGTATCCCCCAAAATTTGTGGGACGCGGAATCGATGTCCCAATCAAAGAAATAAAAGAAATCACTAGAATCAGAAACAACCGTAAACCGTAAACAAACTTAGCTATGATCAATCACATGAATGAACTATCAATCCCTTCTTGTTTTAAAACTAGTTCACCATTTGTACTCGAGGACAACACACACTCGCTTGGTGCCGATGACCAAAGCCGTCAACGATAGGAAAGTTAGTTTAGTTCACTGGGTGATTTCTATTGTTTTTATTGGCAAAATCGATGCAGCTCACGGGGGCTAAACCAACTAACATAACTGGGCACAACCTTGTAACAATGCTTAGTTGTCAAAAAAGAGCCTAAATCAGCTGAAGTTGACTCGAGTGTTGGCTTCAACATTCTGGATTTGTTTTTAAGGCCCGATCCCGAGGCACTGTTTGAAACAAAAGAGCCCCGCTTGCCCGGACTCGTGTTGCCGCGCCCACTTATGCCCCCATGGTTGAGACACTCAGAGAGCTCTCCGCGCAGGGGTCGGCATTTAGCAGCTAGCACTTCAACCGCAGGGTTCTGCAATGTGGTGCCCCCTCAGTTATAGATGGCTTCATTATAAGCCCATGGACTAGTTCGATATATCTACCATAAGTCCTAGTTATTGGAGTTATTTGTACCAGCTTAGCTATCTTAGGGGCCACCACCTTGTGCAAACTCAACCTGTACCTGCTGCAGCAATGCTAACAATTAGGCTTCAAGGCTTTCAATCATCAGAACCTGGTTTTGGGATCGACAGATGGCGGCCTTGCAACCTGTCTGCGCATGTTTGCATTACTTTTCAACGGCTTCTTGACAGAGCCATGTTGGATAATGCAATTCTGTTTTTGGCGCCATACTTGCTTCGGGTTTGCAGCAGTTGGGTTCGGCGAAGAGCGATTTGTTGCCCGCCTTCTTACTTGTTTGAAGACATGGAGTTGCAGGGCAGGCAGGCCTTCACAAACAAGATGAAAAACAGAAAGAATTCTTTGGGTTCAGGTCTAGTGAGTGCTGTGAACTTCGGCCTAAGCCCCATCGAAGCCCACAGCACCCTTGGAAGGGTACATGCCTACTCATGACTGTCATGTTCCCGCATAGGCCCCTCAACCATTGGGGACTCCTCTTGCGCCATTCCGAATTTCTTGCGGGTGCGTCTTGTCATCACAATCTGAACATTCAAACCTAGTGAGTTGAATCTTGCAGCATTCCGGTTTCCTGCTTTTGCAGGGTTCAAGTTCAAAACATGTCAAATACATTTTCGGATTTGCGTCCGTCCCTTACAATGAAGCTTGCGCAAGCTTCGCCAATACCAATAGTGCAAGTATCAAAACGGTGCACAATCGATAAAAATCACGTTCAACCATACTTCGAGCAACTTGACAACATCTTGACAGCAATCATTCTGCTCGTTGTATTTGGCAGAACTGCAAGCCGCAGCCAAGACAGCTATTTTAAAAGAAGAGCACTTTCATGTTTGAGTGTTCCATCGATGACCTGGGTGTGCGTGAAGGTTCCTCGCAATCAAGGCCACCAAGCCGGCATTAATTCTCATTACTATTTCTGCAATAAGAGTTTGCGCCGGCATGTCAGAACACATACCAGATAAATAGGGGTGTAAAGTAGACCGTCCAAGGTGATTGTATATTCGTTCCCAAAAACGGCAAAGTCGTTCAGAATACCAAGGTGAAAGGGCCAGCAATGTTTCACTGTGTTCTCGCGTTAGCTGATAACCGCTACACATCAATCACAAGCCTTTGTTTATCAGTGGGATGAACCAGGAAATAATATGTTACCCTTGGGTTGCCAGACGGTAACCCCAGTTCAGCCAAGAAGCAAACCTGAACTCACAGGATTTGACCCATTCCCCCCCAACTAGTGAGAATTATCCAGTCAGGGATTGGGGGCTGAGACCGCCTTTGTCATGAGCTGTCCTGGCATGCAGCCAAGAGCCTGCAAAGCGACATCAATGCATGTGTCTTCTGCGTGTGCAAGTTGCGCTGCGTGTTCTTGACACGGCATGTGAAGCTATTGGTTTATCCTTGCAAATGTTTAACCTTCCGCTGAAGTCTCAGGCGCGTAGCGCAGCCTCCCAAAAGTCCATCCGAACCATTGCAATTTGTTTGAAGCCTACCTGGCGCCCAGGCATGGACGGTATATAGTCTGCCGCGCACTGCGCGCGCGCGCCTGAACACCCTGGGATATTTTTTTAGGCTCTCACAAAGTTCGTCTACCATGGTTTCACATGTGACCTTGGCCAGCCAGGTCAGCGATTTGTCACGAGCGCTTGGGAAACCCATGGTGGCAGGCCAGCCACCTATGCCGAATGTTATAGTCCATCTTGGACATTCGAGGATCCAGACGAGTTTTTGTTTGGACAACTTTTGACAGGTTCCATGTGATCTGTCGTCCTGCCAGCGCAGGATGAGACCACATCCTTTTGAATCCAGGCAAACACCGCCAAAACAGCAATTGTTTTTCTATTTTGTAAAGTCAACTTCAAATGTGCGGATAGCAAAAAACAAATGAAACAAATACTGCAATAGTGAAAACTGGTTTGCAACATTTTCCGCCAATAGACTACCAGTGTTCATGGAGCCGGGTGCGGTTTGATGGTTCTAGGTTTTCTTGCGACACATCCGGATAATTGAACAAGTGGTGGTGTACACGAAAGACTTAAACAATGGATTTGCGGTATCCCCGACTTTTTAAAATTAGTTTTTTGGGTTTGGGGAATGTTAGAGGCTGTAGCGACCGACATTCACTTCCAACAAACTCCAAGTTTGTTTTCACCAAATGTCTAGAAGGTCCCTCCCAGTTATAAGTTGGTTATTTAGTTTCTGTTTGTTTCAAACCATCAACAATAGCTCACCCAATGAGAAACCAAACTAATTAGATATCTAACAGGACCCAATCTGTATAGAAACCCATGATTGGGATGGCTAAGGTGAATTCGTCTTGGTTCGCTTCAAATGGCCGTGTAACATGGCGTACATGCGTACATTGTCAATGCAAACGAAACAAATACGGAAACAAACCAATCATATAATTTATTTTTATCACAGTGCCACATTGTTGGACATTTGTATCAACATATGTGTTTTCCCTTTCCAGCCAAATTTTCCATTGTAACATTTGTTTCCCACAGGGTAGCTGATGTTTTCCCAAATTTGGGGGCCCCCGCATCCCAACTAACATGATTTTCGGGCATATTCCTGGTAATTTTCATGTTTAAATAGATATGTCAGCGCCGGGTAAAAATAAAAATCTACGCAAATATTAATTGAATATATCTACCCTGGGGTTGGTATTATAGTTCAGCAATTTTTCATTGGGCCCCATTTTCCAGGATTTTGCCAGATGGCACAGCTGCCTTCCCCTTAGTGTTTGGAGCCTGGAACTATCACTATTGACCAATCCAAGATGAAAGCAGCGGTAGTCGTTTTTACAAGGTGGGGGTGAATGTCCCGACTAGAGCCAGACCCACTGGCGCCAATAGGTCATTCTTAAGGTCATCCTTGTGGCGAAATCAACCAAAACATGATCTGTTTCATGTTTCAGGTGAATTGTGAGAGATAGTTCCTCCAATTTCGGAACATGCGTGAAATAGGGTATCCCATTCCATCCATTGACGAATCATCATCATCATCATCATCATCATCATCATCATCATCACCATCATCACCATCACCATCATCATCATCATCACCATCATCATCATCAGCATCATCATCATCATCGTCACCATCGTCATCGACATCACCATCATCTCCTTTCAAAAAAATAACTTAGGGATACTTAGTGTGAATCCTAGTGGACAATTCCATTGTGTACGTCAATTTGGTAGCGATGTATATACCCAGGGCATGCCCATTGTGGTTTCTAAGATGCTAAAAACTCAGAGGTTTGTTTTTTGGCAATGAAACTCAAGAAATTGAAAATATAATGATAGAATGTCCATGAATTTACAAATTGAATACATATGGATATGTATGGATATATATATGCATGTAGATATAGATATAGATATATATCTATATATATATGTATATATATGTATATATATGTATATATGTATATATTGATATAGATATAATTATAGATTGACACAAACTTTATAAAATACAAATAAGTTGGGTCATGTACAAAATCATATAGATATCCCAGAAAATCCCACTGACTCATGGGTTGCCCTTCCGTGAATTGCGAATTATCACAATTCTGACTGTTGGGTAACATTTGTGAAATCCGATTTTTTGTTCAAGGTATCTTGTGATATTTGTTTTACAAGAATGTATATGTATACATTTATCGCATGTTTTTTATGTTTATATAATTACGTTTGTGGAAAATCAACTACTTGTAGACATTTTTTTTTTTGGAAATCCGTAGGTTTTCCACATCTGGTGGTCCCCCTTTTCTGCGGGAACATCAGGTGGTCTGCGACAACCGCAGATGGGGGTGGAGGTGGCCGTGGTGTTCAGGGGCTGTGAGACTTGGAGGATCAGTGCAACGCTGGCAACCCCCAAACTATGGCACACCATGGTGCTCCAGTTCCGAATTGCCAAGTTGGTTTACTTCACTGGGTCAAATATTGGCTGTATTGTGGACATATCATGATATATCTGTGTACAACCAGTTGCCATATTATAAAGCCAACAAATTGAACTAACAACGTTTAGGGGGTAGATTAAACCAACAATTTGATCGCACAATCGCACAACAAATAGACAGTGCCAAACCCGGATGAAGAGTTTCCAAGCGTAGTAGCAGTCAGCATGGATACCACCCACATCCATCCACTGAAATGTAGATAATATAGGAAATATAAGGACATGCCAGATACACACCAAAAAACAATTGGTAAGTGGTGTAGTTTCTTGACATGTGCAACACATGGGTAAGAGGTGCTTGAGGTGGTTGATTCGTCTTAAAATGAAAACATACCCTTTGCCTGGCCATTTTACGAGGAAGTTACTGATAAACCATGGGATTTTTTTGTGTGCCCCATTTTGAGACAACCCTTTAAGTGACACGGTTCACGTGCAGCCATCCAAAACCTATGGGCTGGTGGATGAGAGTTCCAAAGCAGATTACGGTAATCCGCATCAAGTAACATCAAAGCACAACTGGTTGGTGGTTTGGAACATGAATTTTATTTTCCATTTCATATATGGGATGTCATCCTTCCCAACTGACTCATATTTTTCAGAGGGGTAGGTCAACCACCAACCAGACAATGTTTGGCCAAAGATGGCGATAGAAATAGATGATTTACCCATCAAAAATGGCGATTTCCCCATTCGCTATGTAAACGTTTACCAGAGGGTAACATCAAAGCACAATGGCCAAAGATGGCCAAAACATGTTACCCTCTGGTTATTTAACATAGCCATGGAAAATGGCCATTTATAGTGGATTTATCTATTAAAAATGGTGATTTTCCATGGGTATGTTAAATAACCAGAGGGTACTGCAAAAAGCCATTCGAAAAGCACCAGTGATTCGGGGATTGGTTTTTCGCAAAAATCGATGCAATTTGTGCTGGATGTTTCAGAGATTTAAAGAATTTTCTTGTGGAAATATGTCAAATATATACATACAATGCGCCCCCCCAGTGATGTTTGTTGGTTTATTAGCCCCAGTAACTATAGTTAAAAGTACCATAAACCATAGTTCTTGGACTTATGCTCACCAACTTAGCTATCGAACGGGGGCCTCACATTGTATAAAATGTTGAAATATCTATGTTGGAATGTTGGAATCATCGCATATTCTGAAGTTGTCGTCAGTAAATTTGCTCCGTGTCAGCAATAGGATGGCAAGACCCCAGAAACCAAATGAACCTTCAACGCCTAGAAAAGGGGGCCGTGAAACTAGATGACACCACGGTCATTCAACATAGATATGGACAATCACCAAATTAAATAGGTAAATCAACTAGAAATGGGCTTTTTGGCTTCCATAGCTATGTCAAAGTACCAGGCCGGGTAGATTCAGCCCAATATCTCTGCCGGATCAGCTGCCACTCTGGATCTCCAAAGATGGTATGACAGCGCCCGTGGTGTAGGTTATCCAGCCATGACTCCTGCAGTTGGTGAAACATATTACATTTAAATATACTTAAATGTGGTTGTTGTTCGCTAGTTGTAACTACGAAACGGGCCATAAGTCTAGTAAAGGATAGTCAAACATGTCAAAACATGGCTACAGATGAACATATAAGTATCATATAAGTGTATAACATTGTTTGGGGATTTTTTATCTATAAATCCCCAGCTATTTGGGTGAAAAAAACAGGGAAGGGCCCTCGATACACAAGCATTTGGATTTCATCAGAACATAGGTAAGACCAAGTTGAACGGGCCTGTGTTTCTTTTTTTCTGGTTGGTGGTTTGGAACATTTTCTATTTTTCCATATATTGGGATGATGATCCAATCTGACTAATATTTTTCAGGGGGGTTGAAACCACCAATCTGAATATTTTTTGCAGCATACAAATGGAAGAATAGTGCAAGCAGCGAAACAACCTTGTGGAGGGGTATCTAAGATTAGCAATGATCTTCTCGATTTGCGAGCAATGTGTGTAGTCTGTGTACACCCAGATACACTAGTTAATCAGATTTAATCAGTTCATCATCATCCCATATGATCTCTATTATTTCATGCCCATTTAGTGATTTTTTATTAGCCACACACAGATCTCTTTCCATGGTGGGCCCTTTTAAAATTGAACGTAAAATCGTGGGATGATCAACTCCAAGAACTCCTATTTTTTTTGATAGATACCCTCTGGTTATGTCAAAATAGCTATTGAAAATGGTACATTTAGTTCGTGGATTTACCCATTGAGAATGGTGATTTTCCAGTTCGCTATGTAACAAATTACCAGAGGGTACATCGTCTTGGAACTGAAACCACCTTAAGTATCATAGAATCTGGCTGGGCAAATGATGTTGCAACATGTTGCGACCTAAAAAATCGCAACCTCACTGGCTAGATGATGGGGGATGATTGGGGGAATTATTCCCATAGCTGGCCGCAAGTTTATGCAAGTTTCAGGTTTGTAAAATATTGTCATTTACCCAGAATATGTATATCATATATCTATATATATATATATAATTATAATATATATATATATATCCATCGCATTCCCATTAAACTGGCGCCATCTTATATCATTTTATTCCCATCGCCGAACTGAACTGAAGCCACCAATTTCCGGATTATCCCACGGCTTTTTAAGCAACGTTCACATCACTGAAATGTGGGGCCGCCGTTTACGATAGCTAAGTTGGTGCCAATAACTCCAATAACTATGGTTTATGATACTTATAAATAATAACACTAGTTATTGGAGTTTATTGGCACCAATTTATAACTGGGGGGCCCCACATTGTGGGGGAAACCACCGTGTAATCGTGTTTATTTGGTGATGCTTCGTGAGGTGAACTTGCACCGTGCGTCGTTGCCGTTTCGGCTCGATCGTTGCCAGTTTGGCGAGTCGCCGATCCCGTCGAAGACGGGCTTCCGCGAAAAGCCGCGACACGACTCGTGGGTCCAGGGGGTGCCATGGCGTCCATGGCGGGGGGAGGAAAACTTTGGACTTTTTTTGGGAAAATGTTGGGACAATTTTGCTACGAATATCTATGAATACTGGATGAACTAACCACAAAAAAGGAGCAGGGTAGCGAAGTTTGGCCATGTTGTGGGAACTTAGCCAATGAATGGATATATCATGTGGGTATGGGCCAAGGCGGTCCAAACTTACGGCCTCTTCATGTCAACCTGAAATTACAAAAAAAAACATCCAATTTCAAAATGTGGAGGTAAATTCCTACTTCACCGGAAGTTCCACATGTTTTCCTTCATCAGTAGTTGGGGGTCAAGATGCGAGTGCGAAAATAAACCAATCCAGCTGTAGATATTGAAACTGAAAAATTCGGATTGATGGACTACCGTTGAACCTTGCAGACCCCCCAAGTTAGAGCTTATGCTATAGATAGATTCCCTAGATTCCCGATAGATATATACATATATATATATATATATGTATATCTGCCATAAATCCGCAAACTGGCCCCGTTGTAAATCCGCGTATACCCAGGGCTAGGGGCTAGGGGGGCCCTTCCTGTGGAAATGGAGATGAACATCTATTCACGAACTGGTTGGTGGTTTGGAATATGTTTATTCTCCCATATAGTGGGAATAATTAATAATCCCAACTGACTAATATTTTTCGGAGGTGTTGAAACCACCAAGCAGCGAAATTGACGTTCACCAGGGTCCGACCCAAAGCCTCAGCAACTTAGAACTTAGCTCAGCATGACAGTAGATGAACATATTTGATAGGGATAAAAAAAATATCTGTCCTGTGTTGATATTTGTGCCATGGTCAATATCGGGCTACAACCACATATACCATCCACCCGCATTAGAGCATTGACAATATCCTATCAATAGGGGAGTTCTTTGCGCAATAGAAGGAATCTTACTACATGGTGGTGCCCTCCCGGTTATGTTTGTTGGTTTATATGCCCAGCAATCTAGTTCGATCTCGACCGCCACCATAGAATCACCTAGGCATGTCTATCAATCATATTTTTTTTAGTGAAATGCTAATCATTTCTATCAATATTCAAATTCATCTAGGAGAATATCAATCAATTCTATCAAATCCCCATGTGTCATCATTTTTGATTGTTAAATCGGTTAAATCTCCAACTTAGCTCTCTTTTGGGACCATACCTTACTATACTTCTGTGCATCTCACCACGTTGAGCGAATGGATGGTGATGTTTTGATGTTCCCAGTGGGAAATACACCATTTGGGGAATCGATAGGGAATATGTTGTGTTCTTTTTTTTGAGGGGGCTGAAGCAAATCCAAGACAATTAGTTCACGAGCTGGTGCCCCCGTTCGATAGCTAAGTTGGAATGACTCTAATAACTCACTAGTTGATGGGCAAATCAAGCCATAAACCATAACTGGGGTCTCAGGTCCAGCAATGATGAGGACGTGGCTTGGCTGCGTGTTGAGAATGTGGTGTTCAAGTTGATCCAGATAAACTTTGGCCAAGATGTGTGGCAAGTTTCTGGCCAAACTTACCCTCTGGTAAATTAACATAGACCTTGAAAATACACTATTTTTAGTGCATATTTAGTGGAAACAAATCCTCCAATCCCTCTCTGCTAGGGTCTATGTTAATTTACTGGAGGGTAGAACTTAGAACTGCATACATTGAGAAATCATGACCATTGTGGTTCATTTTTTGCAAAATGAAATCATTATGCCACAAGGCATAAAAGATTTAATGTGGTTGATGTGAACAACTATCAGGAGTCCATGGCCATTTGTGGCCATTTGTGATCCACATCCAACGTTCAATTGCTCAAAGCGGGGAGGTTTAGAGGCCTCAACTGTTGAAACATGTTGAGTCACTGCTGAGTTGTGGATGTGATTTTCCAATCTTCAGGATCTTCAAACTTCGTTTTAGCATTTTTTACCATGTTTCCAATAGGGCCAGGGTAGGGAGGGCCATGGAGGGCCAATGACCACTGACCATTCAGCTGCAATGCCCCCCGGAATTATCGTCATGTTTTGTTGGTGCCGAACCCAGAAAAAATCTACGGGGAAATCTCACCACTGAACTAGTTCACTAAAACTGCACCCCCAAGTTTTAGTGATTGCTTCCAATTCTATCCAATACATTTCCAATACTCCATGGATTTCATGCATTATTGTTGTTTATTCTCTGGTTATTCACCACTAGTACTACCCAGCCAAGGGGATGTTGTTTTCACAGTATCGCAGAGAACTTGAGGACAGGCTTGATTTGGTTCCTAATCTTGCCGCCGGAAACTACTGCGGACGGTGGTGCCTTGGAATGTCCGTGTCTCAACAGTCGCTTGGTTTGGCGAGTTTGCGGATGGCGGCTTTCCCCACTTTGTCAGCTTAGTTTATGACGAGTCTAACTCGGGTCTATGGTAATTGTAAGTACAGTAGGTGAGTTCACAAACCAACTCAGAACTAGAGGCACCACTTTACGGTTGTTGTTTTTGTTTCCATGCTGAGATACGAACACCTAATTAAGTGGGGCTATCCAGTGGAACATGGGGTATTGGAAGATAAATTATCATACCTGTATGGTCCATGTACGGAATATTATTCCACAGGGTCCCCAGCAATCACCCAACTGTTGCCATTAAACATACCATACATGGAGCAGATGGAAATAGGTGTTCATGAAGTATCCTGCTAACCAAAGGAATCTCCCAAACTGCTTGGAAGAAAATCCTGCTTAGAAAGAAGTGGTCGAGAATTACTACTTTTAATTTCACAATTCATTCTTGTTACTTTAAACATATGGCTTGCAATGCTTTTACGAGATGTTGAATTCCTATGATGGGAAAACTATTCTGACATTCGAAAGTAGATGATCAAGATGAATCTTATTGCAACCACTTGCCAAGTTCAATGCTATGTGAACATTGAAGCAGTGCGGCTGGGCGTCGCAAGGTTTGGGCTAAGCGACCGCTTGATCTGCAAAACCAAGGCACAAATGCAAGGTTCACTGTTTCACCTTGCAGGGTTCCTTCAATTTCTTAGAAAGATTGCAAGTGTGAGCTGCCCTTTCCAAAGGAGGCAACTAAACGATACGTACATTTACATGCATACAATGTGAGACCCCCAAGATAGCTAAGTTGGTTTATAACTCCACTAACTATGGGTTATGGTACTTATAACTATTGTTACTGGGGATTATAAACCAACAAACATCACTGGGGGGGGGCCACATTGTAGATGTAAATGCATATCTGCCCAATATCCCCAAGTGATTTCCTTGCCGCGTGTCGCAAAAAAGTGGAGTTTTGTCATCTCTGTCAGGGTGCATCTGCTTGAACCCGAGGGGGTTACAGGATACGGTGATAAACCCAATGCCATACACCTCCCATTTGTGGATGGTTTATACAACCCATTTATGGTTATTTATTATGGTTGATTTTTGTGAATGTGTTATTATTGGGTCGACCACATTGGGTACTTCTCAAAGAAGTTTTTACAAGCTGGTTATACAAACATATACAAGCCATATATTGTGATTGTAATATGTCACCACGCAGCATGCGACCCCCTTAGATTGTACAGGCCCACCGGGCTCACCCGGTGAGTGATGGCAACGGTGAACGGATTTTCCGGGGCCTCGGGGCCAAGGTACAAGCGCGCAATATGCGGCGATTTCAGCGGCATCTGTGTCGAGAGGCGCGGGTGCACCAAAGGTGGGTTGCTCCAAGGAATTTGGGTATGGGTCAATACCTATAGATACATTTTTAGTGGGATGAACATCCATTTACCAGCTATTTTGGGGTTCACCAGGGGTACAAGGTTTTGACCCATAGCCATTTGGGAAGGTACTCTCCAGTTAAATAACATTTAACTCTGGAACATGGATGAACATGGACCATTTACTTCGATGATTTACCTATATTCTTCAAAATGCTGATGTCCATTGATGTCCATAGCAAATTGTTAGTCTGCCAGAGGTTATGATATCTTTGAATAAAGCCTTATTTTTTGTAGGGGTTGACCTTTGGGTTGACCTTTGGGTATCCTTAAACTTCCGAAAAATTGGCACTTCATCCACCATGGGAATCCACCAATTCCTTTTTCTTGGGTTCTGTGGATAGTATGTGTCAATATATGACCCTCAGTTGACACCAGAATCAGTGAAAGGTCTAGATTCTAAAATATACTAAAGTTATCGGGTATGTAGTATATAATTAATTAAATATATATGTATTATAAAGTATATACGTTTCTTTTTTTATTGGGTAAATGAAGGTTCTAGGTCTTTGAATCATACCCACGTAGAAGTTGTGAACTCAAGCTGACCAGAAATGCGTGTTGCAAACATGCAATTGTAGACAAGCTTTACTTGAAAAGTTTGTGGCATTGGGTTTACAGTACCGACATCAATACGAGCTCAGTCATATATATATATATATATTTATGTTTATACTTCTAAATGGTTACAAGTGGGGTTATCATTCCATAGATGGGGTTACAACTGACTTATAACTGGTAAAGGGCCTTAACTGTTTGTCTTAAGAAATTGAATACCCCCAAACTTGTCATTCTTTTCCCTGTTGAATTGCCATATCTTTCACCATAAGCAGTAGCCACCCTGTTGCCAGGCCTGTCTGCCACCTATGGTCTTGAAGGATGTAAGGCCTACGATGCGAACATTTCCTTGCAGCTCGGCAAAACAAAGGTTGGAACAGGTTGATGACGTAGAAAAATCTGCGAAATCTTCAGTACCTCAGTAGCTCAAAATGAATAGAAACTATATAGATTCTGGAAAAAATGAGTATTCAACGTCAATTCTTTGGGTACAATATTGAAGACTCTCCACGGAAAACACACTACATCAGCTATTGCACTCTTTTGTTAGCTATAAAGTTGTGCAGATTTCAATATCTTTAAGGGGTACAGACTCTTAGCCTCATTCAATCTCATCCTTGTAACATTCACAGCAGATGTAGCTTATCAGGTTTATTCTGGGACAAAAAAAAGGATTGTGTTGTGTACATAGATCCCAACATCTCAATGACTGATGGATTATCAATCCCTTTTTGATTACTAATAGTTCCATTCCACATTCTCATGGAAAAAGTGACTCATGGATTACCCCATTGATTAATTGTGGGCTATCACTAATATGGAGAGTCATTTGACTTTCAGGGTCGGTTGTATAGCCATGGGCAAGTTCTAGTCTGCCAGGTTCTGGCTTCCAAATCAACCCTTGACATTCCTTTGACGGTAAGCAACCAAACTACAGTACTATGGCGCTTTACCAGTTATAAATGGTTTTGAATGGTTATTTATAAATAGGGCCGGGTTATCATTCCATAAATTGGGTTATAACTGACTTATAGCTTGTAACTGGTAAAGAGCCTTAAGTGTACCTTTCCCAAAGGGATCTTCGTCGGAAATTTTGATCCCTATGGAAGGCTTGTTGATGATCAGAAGATGTGGATATTGATGCCGATCCCGCAACCACTATCACAGCATTTCATACGGAGGTTTCCTAAAATGGGGGGGGTACCCCAAATCATCAAAATTGGACCATTTCAGTAGTGAAACCCATGGGTTTTGGGGATCCCCCTATTCTGGTTGAACCACCCATAAAAATCTCCAAACACCCCAAAAATTGGCGGTGATCCTGGGGGTTCAAACCCTCGAAACACCGTTTGCACCGGAACACTGCTTGCGCAGTGGTATATCCTACCGGATCCTGGGCAATTCGGACCTGGTATGAACCGTACCTAGGAAATTCATGATCCCATCTGACCTTACAAGGCCATATTTTGTGGGGATATTCAATATTCCCTTACATAGGCCAAAAAAATAGACCTTATATATGGTAGGTACCTCCAATTTAGGTTCCTGAAATGGCCATTGATTATAATAAAGTTGTTCAGATGGGTTGAAATCGCACAAACCCAAAGGTTTTAGTCCTGCTTCTTCTTTTCTTCCGTGGGAGCTGGGAAGTTGTCAACTCTGAGCCAGTACCCCATGAACTATAGATAATTCAGCCAGAAGTATCAAACATATGAATATTACCTAGGAAATTACGGAACATTATATAATTATTATATCATTGTACATAGACTAGTAGACCTATAGTCGATATATCAATTATTCAACCATATATCCCAATGATACATATTTCTTAAGCATGTACATATCACATATCTATTTAATCTATTTTACCATGATATATCCATTCTATCCATCATAAACCATCGATATATATATATATATATGGAGGTTTCCTAAAATAGGGGTACCTCATTTATCATCCAATTTAAATTTGGGATTTTCATGGATTTTCCATGAAATAAACAAAGCATTTGAAGGTAGCCAAGCATTTGTGGAACCCCCCATATCCTCAACGCAGAGGACGGGCTGTGATGGAGCTTCTCCGCCGGAGCACTGCGGCAATTTTTGGTGTTACATCGACTTGGACCTATGCCCCAAGATGCTGGGAGAGAACGGAGAGAAAACCATTCAAAGTGCACGCTGAAATGACTGAAATGTTCGTTTATGCTATACTGCTTGGTGGTTTGGAACATTTTTTGTTATGACTTTCCATATATTGGGAATGTCATCATCCCAACTGACGAACTCATATTTTTCAGAGGAGTTGAAACCACCAACCAGATGCTATTTACTGTACCACATCTCACTTAGTTCGGACATCACTGTGTGAAATCCAGCAACTGATTGATTTGGGTGTCCACATTGTAGTCAAAATGATGGTACGAGCTCATTCCGACCTCACCCTAAGCAATGCTTCAGGGGAATCCTCGCTAAAATGGCAAGCCTTGCACTGGGACAGTTGGTATTTAGATGTATTTAGTGTCTAGCTATTCATACGTATTATGAGAGTATATGGGAGTTATGTCCCAAGTTGTAGGGGTTGTAACCATGCCTATCTACACATTTGCAGCTTCAAGTAGAGGAGCTCAGCATGGATCAGACAGTTGAGTGATTCTACCGTTGCCCTGAAGATGTTGAGTTGGAAAACGATGACCACAAGGATGCCGAAAAGATCAGGTTTCCCACTTTTCAACAACGATTTTTGGCGTGGCAAAATATGCAAACCACATGTTTCTGGAAATCTATGAGTAACCCCCCAACAAAATACGGCCCTATTAGGTTTTGGGGTTTCAATCCTAACCGACCGGGTGGTGTTTTTTGGCCAAGGAACTGTACGACTGTTGGATCAAAACTCCAACACTTCGCTAGGCCTTTGCAGCGTACATAAACTCCATTACCTATGGATATATCTACCACAAGCCATATAAGTCAATATAATTCAGTCAACAGCAAATAAACCAATTCAGCTATCTAGACTAATAGACTTGTAGATATCTTAACAGCGGGAGGACACGAACGTTTTATGTTGGCTAAGGAGAGATGATCTGTGTATCGCCAATGGTGGCGTGCCGGGCTCATACACGTCTCCGTGCCCCGGGAATCCCCAGGACCGTGGAAATATGATCCACTCACTGCAGTTAAGGCCCTTTACTAGTTATAAGTCACTTATAAGCCTATATATGGAATGATAACTCAATTTATAACCATTCATAACCATTTATAACCATTTATCACTATATTTATAACCATTTATAACTTATTTACAACCATTTTTGATCATGTATAGCTGGCAAAGGGCCATAACTGTGAGAAAATCGAACACCAACTAAATAAAGCCAAACAATGACTCAAACATATAGAATATAGAAAGCAAAAACATGATAAACAATTAACAATCTTAGGTTTGGGTTCACCATGGAGCGTTAAATTTGGGTCATGTACCCCAGAATGAATTGTACTTTGACCAATCTTTGCTGGAACTGTACAAGCCATTTATTCACCAAAAGCAGACTCTGGCCTTTCCAACGCTTAGTATTTTCCTATCACAAACCATTCTTGCCTCAGAAATTGAGCCCAAAAATGGAGTCACTTCGTAAAAGCATCAACACGAAGTCATTGTTTTCTTAGTCTTTAAGCCATGTAAAACCAACCTCATAAACCATTCCATTCTGATTGGTTATATTAAACACAACAAATCTAGAGGAAATAATCTTTTTGACCACCAATTCTAGGGCTGTCCTGTCGCTTTTCCCCTTAAACCAATCCATTGAACCATCCCCAAGTCACCATTTCTATAACTTGATCCAACCCCTGGGCCCCAGGGCGCAGGCCCCGGAAAAAAAGAAAACATGGTCAACCGTCAACCTATCACCTGCCAAGTTCATACCGCAACATGGTGAGGCTTTGGGGTGATCATCAGATAGGGATTCTTTGATCTGGGAATTGTAACAAGCTGGTGCCCCAAAAAAAAAAGCCCCAGTTAGCGGAATCGCGAGATGTTGACGCATATAACTTGGTGAACTATGAATATGGTGTATTTCACGGTGTGTGTGTATATGATATATATATATATATTTACTTAATCAATCTTAATTAATATATAAACCAACTGGTAACGGGCACCACATTGTACCCTCTGGTTATGAAAAACACTTTGCGAACTGGAAGCCAATGGACCATAGAAATAGATGAAAAAACATTATGGTTTACTCATTACAAATGGTGATTTTCCATAGCTGTTAAATTACCAGAGGGTAGTATTTGTTTGAATGTGGGCTAGTTCGACCAGATGTTATTGAGACGAGTTGTTTTTTTGTTCACACAATTGGTGGATACTGGATACCATGGTATACCTCAAGATTGCCACAGAGAAAGTCAAATAAATATGGCAAAATGTAGAATCAACAGCATCATTGATTTGCACAAACTGGGCAACCACCCTTTGGCCATGATTGTACTTTCTGGTTTACTTGGCATAGTCTAACATGGCAATTTTTCGCATCGATTAAATGTGGGATTTTCCTGCTGTGCCTGATTACCAGAGGGTCATCCCTAATCATCATACTAGGTTGGGTATATTTAAGTTAGTCATATATATATATATATGTTATGTATATATATATGTTATGTATATATATATATGTTATGTATATATATATATGGGGTACCCCCAGTCATGTTCAATTAAAAATCGTTGAATTACATTGAACATCATTGAAATAGGTTTTCCATGAAATAAACCATCCAGCTCTTGGGTACCCTCCATGGCTATTGGGTACCCACGAGCACCACAGTGGCCACCAGCGGCCAGGTATTGCCGTACAAGGGATTATGTCTCGTCGGATCCATGGCGGCGTGTGACGGCGTGTGATGTGGAATCTATATATACAACACACTACTTTGTAAATATGTATATGTATAAGTACGTGTATAAGTATATGTAAATGTATATGATTATGTATATGATTTTATATACAATGTACACTATATATATATATATATATTATGTATATATATATATACACGTATACATTATATAGATGTGTGTATATACATGTATATACATATGAACCTGCTTATGTAAATGTTAATGTATATGCGTACATGCACCCATATGCATATGTGATGGTGATGCAGACATACTTCATGGATTTAAGACGTCCTTGACTCAATCTTGACTAAACATGCCCCCTCTGCATTGCTGGAATGCTAAGTTCACATTGGTTGTCTGGACATAAACCTCCACAGTTGTAGCCCTCAACAATTTTAAATGAAGTTGTAAGTCCTGCAACTGCTTATATATATATATACACATACATATATCTGGGTAAATTATAACGACCTCACTGTTCTCCCTCACTACTAGCGCTAGCGTTAAGTCGTATCAGCTTGTAAAAGTCGTATCGGGAGGCCGTGCGCCTGGAAAAAGTTCAAGTTTGGCATCACCACAACTTTTAGTAATTGAACAATTTCATTGTTTTGGGGCCGTGCGGCTGGAAAAAGTTCAATTTTTTTATTGCATTGATTTAAAAAAATATATTTGATCATTCTTTCAAGGGGGCAAACGCTGGTTGCTGCTTGCCTGCTGCTTGCCTGCTGCTTGCCTGCTGCTTCCCTGCTGCTTGCCTGCTACTTGCTGCTGCTTGCTGCTGCTTACCTGTTGCTGCTCACCTGCAGCTTGCCTGCAGCTTGCCTGCAGCTTGCCTGCTGCTTGCTGCTCCATGCTGCTGCTTGCTACTTTTTGTTGCTGCTTTTTGTTGCTGCTTTTTGTTGCTGCTTTTTGTTGCTGCTTACCTGCTGCTTGCCTGCTGCTTGCCTGCTGCTGCTCACCTGCTGCTCACCTACTGCTCACCTACTGCTCACCTACTGCTTGCCTGTTGTTGCTGCTCCTTGCTGCTCCTTGCTGCTGCTTGCTGCTTGCTGTTGCTTGCTGCTGCTTGCTGCTGCTTGTTGCTGCTTGCTGCTGCTTGCTGCTGCTTGCTGCTGCTTGCTGCTGCTTGCTGCTGCTTGCTGCTTGCTGCTGCTTGCTGCTGCTTGCTGCTGCTTGCTGCTGCTTGCTGCTGCTTGCTGCTGCTTGCTTCTTGCCTGCTGCTGCTTGCTGCTTGCTGCTTGCTGCGTGCTGCTGTGCTGCTTGCTGCTTGCTGCTTGCTGCTTGCTGCTTGCTGCTTGCTGCTTGCTGCTTGCTGCTTGCTGCTCTGCTGCTTGCTGCTGCTTGCTTGCTTGCCTGCTTGCTGCCTGCCTGCGTGCCTGCGTGCCTGCGTGCCTGCGTGCGTGCGTGCGTGCTTGCGTGCTTGCGCGCGTACTTGCGTGCTTGCGTGCTTGATTGCTTGCCTGCCTGCCTGCCTGCTTTGCTTGCTTGCTGCTTGCTTGCTTGCTGCTTGCTTGCTGCTTGCTTGCTGCTTGCTTGCTGCTTGCTTGCTGCTGCTTCTTGCCTGCTGCTTTCTTGCTTGCTTTCTTGCTTTCTTGCACTGCTTGCCTGCTTGCCTGCTTGCTTGCCTGCTTGCTTGCCTGCTTGCTTGCCTGCTTGCTTGCCTGCTGCTTGCCTGCTGCTGCTGCAGCTGCATGCTGCTGCATGCTGCTTGCTGCTGCATGCTGCTGCATGCTGCTGCTGCTGCTTGCCTGCTGCTGCTTGCCTGCTGCTGGTTGCCTGCTGCTTCCGCCTGCTGCTGCTGCTGCTTCCTCCTCCTGCTGCTGCTGCTTCCTGCTGCTGCTGCTGCCTCCTGCTGCTGTTGCTTCCTCCTGCTGCTGCTGCTTCCTGCTGCTGCTGCTTCCTCCTGCTGCTGCTGCCGCTCGTGCAAACATTTTGCCGAAACAGAAAATAACAGTCTCGGTCGCCTTGTTTGGCGCTGACGGGAGGTACGGGCGGGAGACACCAGCAGAGAGAGGGAATGTTTCTGGCTGGTTGGAATGAAACATTGCGGTCGCATAGCGCGGTTGTGCCGCTGTGCTCACCATGGGCGCCATCTCGCACCATCTCGCAAGACGGCTCAGACGGCAAGACGGCGCAAGACGGAACAGACACAACAGACGGCGCAGACGGAGCACCGACAATTCCGCCCGCAATGGAATGAAGGTTTTTTTTCCAATTCGTAATTCCTGGGTGGATAGGACAACAAACTTCTTGAGAGCTGTCCACGACATTGATGCACATCGCGCCAGCCATAGATTTGGTTGCGGAAAACAAGGGGCCCCCATATCCTTATTTCATCCTAGATCATAGCCCTGCCAATAGGATTTGCTACAGCTAACCCACTTGCATTGCAAGAAATTTGAGGCTGTACCAATAGGGGTTTGATTTGGTCACGCGACGCAGGACATCAATATAATATATTCAAATCCAATAGGATTAGCTGCCGAGAATTTGTTTGTATTAACTTGTGCCCTTCAAAATCATCGCTGTGCGCAATGCTTCGGCTATTTTTAACTACATCTCCAAGTATGGATGAAACAGGCTGTGCCATGGTGATTCTTCTTCCCTGATGTGACTTTCCACTACCTGATGTGACTTCTCCGTATCGCCGCCGTGCCATGGGGATGATGTGACTTTTCCCGCCTGATGTGACTTAAGTACGGTGCTTGTATCATCATATTTAGTAAGGGGAATCATCCCCAAATGGCCGAACTATTCAGGTTGGTGAAATATTATAATTTACCCAGATAATATATATATATATATGGGAAAAAATATCATATATATCATATATATATATATCATATATATCACTGAAATGATGCTAGTTTAAACACCGCCAGTTTTGTTTCACTGTTTTCTGTTGGTTCGACTCCTTGGACTCCGTTGGTTTCTCCGTTAGGAGTCGTCTCCCGGGTACCTCAGCTATGACACTCGGACAGCAACGGACTTGCGTAACGCTCGGACGTCGGACTTGCTGAAGGTTTATTTGGGTTAACTATGTGGCAGTGTGTCAATACCTATAGATACATTTTTAGTGGGATGAACATCCATTTACCAGCTATTTTGGGGTTCACTAGGTACCAGGGTTTTGACTCATAGCCATGTGATTAACTATGATTAACTATAGTTATTTGGATTAAGTGGATTAACGATTATTAATTAACGTTCATTAACTTTTGGAGGGAGCCTGGTGAAAAAACTGGATTAACTATATGATTAACTACAGGGCCATAGCCCGAAAAAGCCAGGTACCATTCGCAACTGGTGATATAAGACTTAGGCTTATCTTAGCCAGTTATAACTTATGTAAGGGTGCTTCGCTACCACAAGGAAACAACCACTTCTTTATGATTGTCTGGGATTCCAGAAATATATTGGAAGATATGTTACCCACGATTCCTAAAGGATGCACATCCAAGCACTGCCTTTTTTTCTACATGTGGCCAGCATGGGTTGCCCACCCATGGGTTGCCCGTGTTGTTGTCATGGGCTATAAAAGTGCTAGCTCCCATAGGGAAGGGCTTATCATATTCTTGTCACCTGTTGGGACGGCGCCTTTTCAGCTTCCCGTCTGTTCTTTCAATGTCTTTATCATGGCTTTGTTTAGTCGGTGATTTTTTTTTATTGTCCCAATGGTTTTAATCCACCATTACTGGGGAATCGATGAAGTGAATATGTTTAACTGGTTGGTGGTTTGGAACATTTGGATTATTTTCCACAATATATGGGATAATCCTTCCCATTGACTAATATTGTTCAAGATGGTGAAAACCACCAACCAGTTTTTTTTTGGGGGAACCCCTGGTGCGCAAATCCAAGTTATTCTTTCCCAGAAGAACGATTCCTTGGTTCACCGATGGCGAGAAGCTCTTGGCGAGAAATCCTTCCACAAAGGGCGCCACCATTTAAATTGGAGTGATTTGTCTCCATAAATCATGAAGTTATCATAGTGGTATGAATAAACATGGTAAGTGATACCGTCCAAAAATAAGTAATTATATGTAATTACTATGCACTGAATAACGGTGAGAATACAATTTTAAAGCTCTCTAGACACGGAGATACTGTGGATGGTTGCGAAATGCTGCACCAGTTGGTATACTGGCATCATAATCCCAGTGTTTCATAGGAATCCCTTCATAGTATGAACTTCATAGTTACCTTCATAGATTCATAGTTACCAACAGTTTCGGGATTTGTGCCATCCACAGTCTGGAAGTCATAGCCCACGGTTCGATGATTAAATATGACGATTTTCCGAACTTAAACATGGTGATTTTGTAGCACTATATATATATATATAAACATGGGGAAAAAATGGTTTGTCTGAAAATGGCTTTGCACCCTCCAAATAACAATTTGAAACACGAGAATATGATCATATAATCCATTGGAATTGGGAATAGTCGCAAGGTGTTTTGTTTGATCCATATTTTTCCATGGGTGATTCCATGTGGCCATGTGGCCATATTTTCCCAAAATTTCAGATGCCATGTTCAGTTAAATCATCACGCTTAGTGGTATCGTGTGCCCGGTTGTTTTAGCCAAAAAATGTGGCTCGAAAATCCACCGTTGTTCGGACTGGGATGACGATCGGATGACTGGTTGGTGGTGACTGGAACCATGGAATTTTCAATGACTTTCCATAATGGATTATAGTGGTTTAATGGATTTTAATGGATTTTAATGGATTTTTATGACTTTCCATAAAAAGTTGGGAATGTCATCATCCCAACTGACTTTCACTCACTCCATGATTTTTCAGAGGGGTAGGGTATACCAAACCACCAACCACTATTGACCACTATCAACCACTATTTTCAGATCTATTAACCACTGGTAACCACTAGTAACTACTATATATTAACCATGGTATTTTCCCTGGTTTTTTGCCCAAATCATTTTTTCCCAAGCAAGGAGACCTGTGGATCCATCAATGTCTACAATGTGAGCCTACTCACTGCGACTCAGATCATCAGCGCCCATTTCTTTCGCTGTTTTACATGGTGAATGCCATGGATAATAAAAACTGCTTGGTGCTTTGGGACATGAATTTTATGACTTTCCATATATATTGGGAATGTCATCATCCCAACTGACGAACTCACTCCATCATTTTTCAGAGGGGTAGGGTATACCAAACCACCAACCAGAGTCAGTGGATGTGCAGAAGAATTGATCAACATTAGGGTGTCATCCATAGGTGTTTGATTCGAAAGGTTGCCACGTTGGAAAGCTGATGCCAGCAGCATCCGAGAATGGGTGATTGCTGAGTGAAACAATACCCGAAGCACGATTAGCGCAAACAAACAAGGCGGGCCAGAGGGAAATCTTCGCACTAGCTGGAGGTTAATAGTTATGAAAGTCATCCAAATAATTGGGACATTTTCCAACCATGCTTGATTCCCGGATAGTACGCAAGTTTTGCGTTGACAGTAATTATCCAAGATCGGTACAGACTATATATATTGTAGATTTATGATACTTGATATATATATATATGTATATATATATTATATTAATATATATATATATTATACATACATGGGTTTCGTTGGAGTCATCTTTTAGCCATTGCGGGGCTTCCTGGCTGGAAAGATGGTATTTAAGCATGCCACGTGTCACATGGAAAATATCATGTTGCCATGCGATGGAGTTTATTTTCCCAATGGAAAATCCACCGTGACTGGGGCATCGATCAAGTGAATATGTTTTTTTTTGGGGAACCCCGAATCAGCAAGTCCAAGTTATAGGATCTTATAGGTAGTTCATTGTTATGTTACCCTCTGGTTTTTTCAAACATCACCAACTTTTTGTTGAGAAGTTGAGAACATCCTGATTTTACCATCAACTTGAGGGCTACCCTATTTTCAGACCTCCATCTCCATCATCTCCATTTTGACCGGCGAAACAACTATTGAAAAGTTGTTTGATGCATCATGGCAAAGCAGGAACATTACAGTTATATCCCTTAAACAGGTGTAACTGGCCTATCACCTCATTTAATTGATATATATATATATAACCAACCAGTTGCAGGAGTTGTAATCCCATTTAAAACTGCTAAGGGCCATAACTGTAGACGTTATCAAGTCCAGGATGGAAGCTAAGCTCCGGGCAATCCAGGATACTAATCGCATGCAGAAACCTTCTTCCCCGCATTGTTTTAAGATATAAATTAACATAGACCCGGAAAATCAGCAAGTTTTAGTGGAAACTAATCTTCCAACCCCTATCTGCCAGGGTCTATGTTAATTTACTGGAGGGTACTTTTGAGTTCTGTGAGCTAGATAAACACAGAAACTATCCAAGCCGCAGCATCATCGGATTCAGATGTATGACGCAACACCAGTTTTTGTGTTTTTCCGCTTCAAACTACTCCGGTAAACTAACATAACCATGGAAAATCACCATTTATAGTGAATTTTCCCATGAAAAGTGGTGATTTTCCATAGTTTTTTGTATGCTTTCCAGAGGGTGAAACTACTCCAATGACCAGAACGCTCCCAAAATGACCAGAATCAGCTGTGTTTCCACCTTCAATGACTGGAACTGTAGAGTTCGATCACAACGAAGAACCGTTCAGCCAAGCAAGTCCATTCAAAGTTCATCACTTGTTGGTGGTTTGGAACATGAATTTGATGACTTTCCATATATTGGGAATAGTAACCCCAACTGACTAATATTTTGCAGAGGGGTTGAAACCACCAACCAGATCAATATATCCATAGATTTTTGTATGAACATTCCCTGAATTGCATGAAGGAAAATGTTGCAGGAACCCCTTTATTTGATGTAAGATGTGAAAGAGAACAGGATTTCTGAAGAATTCCCCTCAGAAGCAACCCAACGAACCGGGTTTTTTCCCTTAAACGAATCCAATGACTATCCCTTGCCACTCAAAGAGTCTTTGGGAAAGGATTCCTTTCATTTGAGTGTTTTTAGTGAAGAACACGGGGAATGCTCCATGTCGGTATGTTCAATTCATCTTACTTGGAAGTGCAGCTCCAGTTATATGTGGATATTCTATGTGGATATATAATGATATATAATAACATCCTATAAACATGGTGATATATATATATATACAGTATATATACAGTATATGTGTATACATATATCACATTTACATATATCATATATACATATATCATATATACATATATCATATATACATATATCATATATATATATATACTGTATATGGAACCATGATTTTAGGATGTTATAGGATGTTCTAGGATTATAGGCGCCCCTTGTTTACCAACAGGGTGATTTGATCCCCATGGTAGAATCACCATGAAATCCCACCAGGAAAATCACCATGAAATCACCATGAAAGACCACCATAGATTATCAAATCACCACCACTATTAAGATTTATTAGCCACTTTCACCTCCAACCACTAGTAACCACTGTATACTGGTTGGTGGTTTGGAACATTTTTGTTATGACTTTCCATATATTGGGAATTTCATAACCCCAACTGACGAACTCATATTTTTCAGAGGGATAGGCTCAACCACCAACCAGTATATTAACCAAATCACCACTATTAACCACTATCAACCACAATTTTCAGATCTATGTTAACCACTAGTAACCACTATTAATATCAACCACTATATATATATATTATCCATGGTGAAAATCCCCCGTCTTTCACAACTGGGCATGACCTTTTTAACGTGCGTCCGTGTTGACATCTCAGGCAGATGTCGAAGGTCATGTCTTGTAGATCTCGGTCATTCCCTCATCTCCCTGGGTCATTGACAAGACCTCGCCCATCAGCGGCTCGTTGCGTTTGGCGTTTTTTTTTTTTTCGGAAGATGGGAATGGGCCAACAAGGGGATTTGATGGAAAAACCATTAACAGAAAGGATGCTATAAGTTAGCGATTTGACTAGGTTGACGAAGTGGTGACTATGGTAAACATATATCATGATAGATCATTATAATATCTATCTGTCTGTCTATCTATCTATCTATTTATCTATCTATGTTTTAGCCAACCAAGAATAAGTGAAGCCGGGTATGTAAGGATTGAAATCCAATGATCAAATTTGAAGAACAAGATATGATATATGGTCGAAACTCCGGTAGACACTTGGATGTAGGGACTGCTTTTGTTTGGAGTCTGGAAAGTGCATACAGCGCTGGGTTTCATATCCCTTGCGATACCTTAGCGATACCGTACCATTGGTTCAAAAAGAAGGCCCTGACCACAATGAGAGACACAGCTCCTATTTCTTTTCCTCTTTGCTCTTCATGTCCTCTTTCTTTCCTCTTTCTTTCCGCTTTCTTTCCGCTTCCTTTCCTCTTTCTTTGCTCTTCATTTCCTCTTCCTCTCTTCTTCCTTTCTTTTTTTCATTTCCCGTTTTTCCTTTCCTCTCTTCCCTTCCTCTTCCTTTCCTTACACAGGTTTGTTCCTCCATTATCTTCATCAAAAGTACAACATGTACCCATAGGCCTCCCCCCCAAAAAAAACGTTACCTGCTACTCTTGAGCACGGCTATCTAGACGAGAATCATCCAAGGACTGGGAAACCCTTGGGGCGTAACCCTTTGGAAACCTCCGTATTTTGATCGCATCAACTAATCTGTTTAAGCTGGTTGTTCTGTTTTGTAGACCCAAAAAAGTGCTGACACGTGCTCATACCCCATGCTGTTTTCCAAACATGTTAGTTTTCATGTAGGGTTGACATCCCCTGCATGGTAGCCACTGAAACTCAGGCCCTAGACTAAGGGCAGACGAAACGACACAGGCCCAGGAAAACCCGCTAGGCCGACGCTGCTGGGGGGTTCAGGTGGCCGGTGACCACTAGGTTACGAGCCCAAGCCATGCTGGAGCGCAGAAGGAAGACTCTGCGAGAGAACGTGGCTGAAGAAGAGGCTGACCAGGAGGTGGAAGTGCTGAAGGGAGGGCAGATGAAGGCCCTGGAAGATAAGAGGCCAGAAGAAGACCAAATGGCGCTGAGGGGAAAGGGAACACCAAGCCAAGGAGGTGAATTCCTGAAGACGCCCTCACAGCCAACCCTGGAAGATGACATGGGGAGAACTCCACGGCAGGAGGAAACCCCCGCAAAGGAGTGGAAGACTCCGAAGACCCCGGTTGAGACACCCCGGCAAGCAGAACCCCAGACAAGCTCCACAAGAGAAAGGGAAGAGAGAGGAGGAAGAACGGCATCGGCAGCCCAGACCCCCTTTCACAGACCCTCAGGAGCACCTGAGACCAGCCCCCAATGGCCTGGGGGACCCAAGACCGGCCCGACCACGCTCCGACCAGCCAACCAGCCAGAACCCCAACCGCTGTTCGACGACGAGCAGTTGAGGAGATATGAAGAGTTGCGGAGACAGGCACCGATGCTGAACCCGCCCCAAGTCCAACAGAGGACACTTGAGGAGATGCGACCTGAAACTCTGAGAGAGGAGGAGTTGAAAAGGTTGAGAAAAAGAGAAGAAGAATTGGAGATGGAGAGGACCATGCTCCTGAGAGAAAGAGAAGAGTTGCAGAGACTGCTGCAACAGAAAGAAAGAGAAAAGAGCCGAGAGAGGCATGAGGAGGAGTTGCAGAGACTGCTGCAACACAAACAAAGAGACGAGAGCCGAGAGAGGCATGAGGAGGAGTTGCAGAGACTGCTGCAACACAAAGGAAGAGATGAGAGCCGAGAGAGGCATGATGAGAGGCGCCAGAACGCCATAGATGATGAAGATGTCCAGTATAGGACCCCAGAAGAAGAAAGCCAGACAGCCAAGAAGCTGTTTCAAGACGAGCTTGCGGAGGCTGACAGACCCCCAAAGCCCGAGGCTGAAAGACCCCTAACGGCCAGAGAGGCCACAAGACCCCTGAAGACAGAAGCTGCAGGTTCCTCAAGGCAAGAGGAGACCCAAGGAACGTTGCAGCTGATGGCAATGATGATGCATACAATGACAGAGATGCAGAAGAAGATGCTCTCCAAAGATGGAGGGAAAGAAGGAGAGGGGGGAGAAGCAGAGTACGTCAGAAGCCACCCCGAAGTGCCAAGACTGACGGACTGGAACCCCTCGACAGGTCCGATAGACCTGAACGATTGGTTGGCGCTGTTTGAGCCAATCATGGCAGACCTCACAGCCACCTCACACGACTGGTGGGACAGGCTGCTGAAAGAAGCAAGACAGTGGTACCAAGACCACATGGCTCTGAGTCCAATGGACAGGCTGACACACGAGCCACAGCCTTCCAAAGACTTGGACCAGCCCAAGTGGATCCGCCTAGAAAGAAGGGCGTCCACATTGCTCATGATGAGCATCCCTGAAGCCCAGAAAGAGGAGCTAGTGTCGACGAAGAGGATCACAGCTCTGAAGATCATCTGCCACCTCTTCACGACCTTTCAGCCTGGAGGATTGGCTGAGAAGGAGGTCATCCTCAGGTCGTTGGAGATGCCACAGGAAGCAGCAACAGTGGCAGAAGCAGTGAGTTCACTGAGGAAATGGATGAGATGGAGGAGACGAGCAATGGAGCTTCAGGTGAGCGAGCCTGATCCCTTCCTCTTGCTCAAAGGCTTGGGACGCATCGTCCGCCGACCTTTGGAAGCCAACAGAGAGCTGAATTTCAGGATCAGCTTGGCCAGGTCGATGCTCCAGGTCGACTCGACCCCCACGAAAGACACAGTGGGAAAGTTCTCGACCCACCTCTTGGCTGAGATGGAGCAGATAGCACACCTTGAAGGCAGCAAGAAGAGCACCAGCAAGGACATGCAGAAGCAAGCACAGCCAGAGGTGAAGGTCAGGAAGTTTGAAGAAGGAGGAAAAGGTGAAGGTAAGTCAGGGAAAGGTGAGAGAGCCCCCTGCAAGTTCTTCATCACGACAGAAGGATGTCGCAAGGGAAAGGGTTGCAGATGGGCCCACAACCTTGACGACCAGAAGAGATGCTGGAATTGCGGCTCGACGCAGCACTACGCACCAGCGTGTGACAGACCCCGAGAACCCAACAAAGAGGGAAGTCCGGAAAAGAGCGGAAAACCCTGGGAGGGGAAAGACATGAAGCCGACGGCAAAGGTGGTGAAGAAAGAGGAAGCCACCAAGAAAGAAGAGGTAGCCAAGGAAGGCTCCAATGAAGGAGACAGCAGTGAAGCCATGAAGGGACTGCTGGAAGAGGCCAACAAGATGTTGAAGGCCTTGCAACAAGGAAAGAATGAAGAAGACGAAGGGAAGGAGGTCAGGCTGCAAAAGTTGCAGAAGCAGCTTGATGAACTCAAGACCCTGAAGGTCTTCAGGATCTCCAAGATCCACACAAAAGAAGGAGACTATGGTCTTTTAGACTCTGGCGCGACGCACGCCTTGAGAGGAAGACAGCCAGGAGAATCACTCAAGGACTTGACAGAGGTCCGAGTGACGTTGGCCTGTGGTAGAGACGCCACACTGAAGATGACAAGAGGAGGAACAATGGTTGGTCAACATGAGGAGACAGAACCAATCGTTCCACTTGGAAAGATGGTCAGCCAGCTCGGCTGTACGGTGGAATGGGATGAGGAAGGCCTTGTCGTGGTTCACCCAGAGAGGGGAAGACTGGCCACAACACAAAGAGGAGGATGCCCTCACATCCCAAGACCACTGGCCTTAGACATCATCCAGGAACTTGAGGAGAAGTCTGGATGGATGAAGAAGATGAAGACCAAAGAAGAAGACGAAGAAGAAGTCTTGAAGAAGATGGTGGCCGTTCATCCGGTCTTCAGAGACCTGCCAGAAGAGGTAAAGAAGGAACTGGTGGTGACGCCATCAAAGGATTTGACAGCCCTTCCAGGGATGAACCGTAGACAAAGACGGAAGATCCAAAGGGAAGGAGCCACTCTGCACCTGTTTGCGGGGGAGGACGACGGATTCACCCTGAGCCAGGCAGTGAAGAGTGCAGGCGGCGATGTCCAGACTCTGATAGAGCTGGATCAGAAGAGAGGACCTGGGCATGACCTGATGAGCTCAGATCCATATGCCACACTGTTGAGGTTGGCATTTGACAACAGGATCAGAGGGATCCTTGCAGGCCCAAACTGTCGCACAAGATCAGTGCTGAGGAACTACAGGATGACACCAGAGTGTCATGGGCCAAGACCACTTCGAGAGTGGGGTGGTGAAGAATTTGGCAGGAGAGACTTGCGAAAAGATGAGAAGACAAAGGTGTGGCAGGACGATGTCATGCTCTTCAGGACGCTGCTGTTGTACGTCCTGGCAGTCCACGTCGAGAAGACAAAGGACGAAGAAGAAAAAGAAGAAGGCATCAAGAGAGACGCCAAGACAGAAGAACAGAAGAAAGGAGGAGAGGGATGGAAGAAGATCATCCTGGCTCTCGAGCAGCCGAGTGCTCCTGAGTACCTCCCAAAGACGGTCTCCTTTTGGTGGACGGACCAGTGGAGAAAGATGAAAGAGATGTACGATCTGCAAGAGATCAAGTTCAACCAGGGAGACTGGAAAGGAGAAGAAGGCGGCAAAGGCTGCATAAAGCCCACAACGATCGGCGGGAACGTCGAGATCAAGGTTCCAGAAGAGAGGAACCCAGAAGCCAAAGGAAGATCCCAAGACAGGGTCCAAGACTCAAAGAACCTGAGCCGATGGGTGCCGGGTTTGATGAAAGAGCTGGCGAAGGAAGTGGTCAAGAAGTGCCAAGAAAGACCCGTCCAGCTAAAGCCCATGTCATGGGAACAACATGTGAAGCATGGACACGTCCCGTTCAGAAGAGACTGCAAGATATGCCAGCAGTCTGGGGCTAAGTCCGCTCCACACCGGCGTTTGAACGCCAAGAAAGGACAATTCCCAAGAGCGGGAGTGTTGTCGGTGGACACCACAGGCCCACTAGTGAAGGGTGAGGACCTGATGGGAAACAAGATGAGATTCCTTCTGGTGGGTGCATACACATGGCTTGCACCGAAGGATTCACCTCTAGAAGACAAAAGGAACGAGAGAGTTCCAGAAGAGGAGGTGGATGCGATCGAAGGGCTGAGGATCGATGACAGTGAAGGAGAGGCTGATGATGAAGCAGAACACACAGAGGAGGATCCCCAACAAGACCCCCCTGGCAACCCTGAGGAGCCCCAAGGTGGTGAGAGAGCCATCAACCCCCAGGAGCCACAAGAAGCAGCCAAGGAGGAGGTGGATCAGCCAGAGGACTTTGAAATCAAGATTTTCAGACTGGTGACTCCCTTGCCCTCGAAGGCGGGGGGAGTAGTCCTCCAAGCAGTCATCGACATGATCCTCAAGCTCAGATCCGACGGATTTGATGTTTCCCAAGTCCATTCCGACAACGGAGGTGAGTTCACCTCAGATGCCATGAAAAGATGGATGAAGGCAAGAGGATACATCCGAACATTCACGGGTGTCAGCAACCCACAATCAAACGGCAGAGCAGAGAATGCCGTACAACAGGTGAAGACACACATAAGAAGATTGCTGCATCAAGCAGGGTGGTCCGAAGACCAATGGCCACTTGCAGCGCGCCACTGCGACGAACAGTTGCGCATGTGGAGGTGTGGACTGAAGCAGAAATTTCCACCACTGGGAGCTGAAGTCCTGGTCAAGAAGAGAAGGTGGAACGCGCAACAGTTCCTGCCAACAATGGACCGAGTGACATACATCGCTCCATGTTGGGAAGGTCACGGTCACTGGGTGAAGCAAGAAGATGGGACGACCATCGTAGCCCGGTTCTGCATAGCTGATGTGTGGAACCCCGTGACAGACCACTCGTGGCTGGCAGTCATGACAGAGATGCCAGATCCACTTGAAGAAAGAAGAAGATTGAGGAGAAAGACGCCACCAGAGTTGGCGAAGATGGAGGTTCAAGAAGACGAACCAGGGGAAGAGGGGAGAGACCCTGAACCCAGAAGAAGATCAAGACTTCTACAGCTGATCATGGAGGAGATGACAGCTCTGATGGAAGACCCCTCAGAAGAGGCCCTGAAGACGACGATGCAGTCTGTGGCCAAACTCCGAATGATGATGGAGACGGGCACGAGTGAAGACGTTCTTCAGACGAGGATCGTGGGCCTGGGGGAGGTGATGAAAGACCTCGAAGGATGGAAGAAGCCCATCGAAGAAGAACTGAAGTCTTTGGTGGAAGACAAGATGGCCCTTGAAGCCATTTCCAAAGAGGAGGTGGAGAAGATGTTCAGGGCGGCACACGCCGAAGGAAGAAAGCTGGAGGTGGTGCCAGGAAAGCTGGTGACGGTGGTGAAGCCCGCACCAGAAGGAGGAAAGAAGAAAGCCAGAATAGTGGCGTGTGGAAACTTCACGGCGAAAGATGCCCAGGACGAACTGTACGCGTCCACTGGTGATGCAGTGACTCTGAGGATCATGATGAAGTTAGCCTCAGAGAACCAGTGGGACGGAGTCACGTTAGACATCCGTACAGCTTTCCTCAACACACCATGGGAAGACATGGACGTGTTGGTGAAGCCACCCCACTTGCTGATCAGGATGAAGCTGGTCGAAGAAGGCACGCTGCTGGGCTGGATTTAGTAAGGTCCTTTGAGCTGATTGATGGCCATTCTCATGTTTCTAGACATTGTTATAGAATTTGAATTCAACATCTTTTCTGGATAATACATGATTGCTCAAAACAAGATTCCGGTGGGTAGATTGTTTGTGTTAAAACATGTTAAAACTATGACAATGAGTGGCGTGAGCACCAGGGATATCTAATAATAATATGCAGCCTGGAAGTGAACGCTGGCACATGTAGGTATATAAAAAAACATGTTATATCTCTATTTTGATGTATAATGTGTGTTTTTTCAGTGCAGAGCCCCTCCCCGCTCTACACGGTGGCGCCCTCCCACAAACTACTATCAAAGTAGCGGCGCCTCCCATGTACCTGATTCAGGAGGCTATTGCCTTCCTTGAAGCTGCAGTGGATGCAGGAGGCTTGGTTGGCAGCCTGCCTTGCATCAAGCCATGCCATGCATTTTGCTTGCGTGCGCAGGAGGCTCTTTGGAAAGGAGCCTCCTTCATTGTTACTGTTACTGTTGGTTGCGGAGCGGGCAAAAAAATTGCTCAAGAAGCTGCAGGCACACGACCGCGAAGCAGGTTTCTTTTACAGCTCACTTCTTGAACCTGCTTTTCACAGATCTCAGCCCTGTCCATGCAGCATCAATCTCAAGGATCCATATTTGCAAATCGAAACTCTAAGTGCACATACAAGTCGTCCAGACAAACAACAGAGCCGTGCAAAGCCGCAGTCTGGGGAATGGTCTCCTTGATGGTATCCAGGGCACGTGCAATGAACTTGGCTGCGCTTTCCACTTCATCTGCTTTCTTTTCCAAGGCAGCCTTTGACTTCAAAGCTGTGCATGCTACCACTTTCTCTTGAAAGGATTCAACCAACGCGTTGCCGTTGTAGCTGTCGGCTTTCCATGGCACATCCTGGAGTTCAGTCTCCGGGTACTTCAGTGCATTCTGCAAAGTGGTCAAGAACAAGATTGCCTTGGTAAGCGACACTGACTTGAGCTTATCCTCTGCAAAGAAAGGGCGGCTGAAAAGAAGACACTCACGAGCATTCTCAAGCTCGAAGTCTGCCTTTTCTTTCAGACCTGGGTCGCACTTCTGCAGGAAGGCTTGGATACCCAGCTCCAACTCAGCCTTCGCAAGGACACCCTGGGGCGAGGCACTGGCAGGGCGAGGTGCTGCCATGCTACTGCGTCGGCGTCGGTTCAAGCCTGACTGAGAGGGAGCTAAAACACCTGCGGGTGAAGAAAAATCAAGAAATTGATCTTTACCATCGTGGAAAGGAATTGATGACTGAAGCTTTCTGAGTCCTAGGCAGCTGAATTTTTTCAAAGCTGGAGTGTGTCTGTCCAGTGTCAGGCTGACAAGATGCCACGTGCTATGAAAATGTTCCGCGCCAAGCGCCTCAAAACACAGACAGACATGGCGTTACCTGCCATATTGCCTAAGACACTTTGTGGAAAATTTTGCAATTCTGCAACATCTCCAGGCTTATATGCTCCAGGCCATACTCCCTGGAGCAACAAGAAATCTCTTGGCTTCAAGAATCTTTGACCCTGATGCCACCAGTATCCATGCTTCCCTTTGCACCGGCTTGCGGTGAGGCAAGGGCACTTGTCTTCCATCCAACTGGCCTTTGAACCGCCTGTGTCAACAATGAAATCCCGATGTTGCTTGGCTGGGTTCCGATCCAGGTAGTTCTGAAACTGCTGCAAGTTCTTGCGGACAGTGTTGCTCAAAGCCTTGCCATCTCCATCGTGGGTCATATGGGACAAGTTTCTCTTTTTCACTGGCGCCACAGTTGCCCAAAAGCTGTTGCAAGCTGAGTGTCTGTTTGAAGTTTTCGGGCCAGTGGAAGTGATGGACCTGTGTGTCCCTTCTGATCCCTACAATGTACACACGCTCCCTGTGTTGCGGGATGGCGTAGTCTTCGGTGTTCAGGACTTTCCAGTACACATGGTAACCTGCCAGAAAGAATCGTCGAATCCATGTTACTTGTGATTCTATGATTTCTAGTCAATGACTAAAAAAAAACAGGTGTTAAATGAAGCTTAGACACAGGGCTGGCCATTGGGAAGTTCAATGCCTCTCAAAGTGTCAATCAACCAGTTGAACTCGTTCGGAAAGAGCCTCAGGAGACCTTTGACATTCTCAGCCACAAAGCTGCGAGGCTTATGTTTTTTGATTTGGTAAGGGATGAAAGCCATCAGACCGCCTCTGCAATCTGATGCTCCTTCTTTCACACCAGCAACACTCCAAGATTGACATGGGCTGCCGACTGTGTACAAATCAACATCAAACCAGACAGGCTCAAGATCTCGCGTGTTCTCCATATTGTTCTCCAATCGCTGGGGCTGAACAAACTGAGTAATGAATGCCCTGCAGCGTCACGAGCATGGCTCTACAAAAAGAATTTGATTTAAAACATGTTCAACAAAACATCTGGGCCTAAACTTCTGTTCAATCTCAGAGGTGTAGACGTGCTTCACGGTGACTGCGGGTGGCAAGTTGACTCGCACTGCCGGCCCTTCTGTGCAAAGACCAGAGCAGTCAGACACCAAGGTGACTTCGGCCACGGAACTTGCAGGCTGCACAGGTAAGAGCTGCACTTCAGGCTGGGCAGGCAGCAACGTGGTCTTAGCTTTGGCAGCTCTGCTCCTGCTTCCCTTCAAGGAAGGTCTCTTCTGCACTTTCCGAGCTGCAGACTTTGCAGCTGCCTTGCCCGTGGCTTTCCCCATGGCTAGTCTAAGAAGGCTCACGGATCACTATCTAAAGCTGAAAAACTGTGCGGTGATGACAGTATTAGTCAGTCCATGACAAATGAGAGAGACCATCAATGCAGAACATCTTCTACAAATTCTTTTTTTGCTGCACCTCTGACACTGCGACCAGTAGACCGCGCAACTCTTACCATCTGCCGCCTTGAGTCAACAGGCGGGGCCAAAAGCCTACAGGATTAAGATCTTTGATCTGGAAAATGCGCTCTTCAAGCGCAGGCCTTGCTCAAAACTGGCCTGCACGATAGCCATCAGGAATCTCAGCTCTGATTGCCTTGCAAGTTCTGCAACTGGGAACGGAACTCATCCAACACAGTCACTTCTGTGCCAGAGCTCCCACTTCCACTGCTTGGCACAGGGTTGGAGGGAGTGCTGCCAGTGGACGCTCCCACTGTGGTAGCCGCAGGTGCGGCAGATGTCTGGGACGACCTGCTGGCGCGATCTCCTCCCAAACCTTGGCTGCCGATGAAAATTGATATTATTGTGTAATGATCATGTAAAAATAAATGTATCTGCACTACAAATCATTGCGGTGTAACATCGATAGTTGAGCCCCAAAACTGCCGAGTAACTTGCTGCCAACTTGGGCTCGTACACCGTTTCGGCCGAAGAAAGCATGCGCAGCATGATCTCTGTCACGATGCGCTCCTGGACCTGGGTCTGATGCTCTTCAGTGAGGCACAGGCCAACATATGGCAAGCGAGACAAAGCGCAAGCCAATGCCATGTTGCCATCTCCTGCTCCTGCATCCACCATGGCTGCAAGGTTGTAGCTGCACAAAAGCTCCACGCACAGGTTCACAGGACGGCTGTGCCAGAACACCGGCTCCTCAGTAGTCATCTTCCTTGTACTGACTCCGCGATGACTCTCTGCTTCTCCAGCAGTGCGTCCACCAACTGCCACTCTGTACTTGCCAAACAGAGTCACTTTGTCCTGCAGGAGTGTGAATCAGAAACTAAAGAAACATTATTGGAAAACATTCACAACAAGTGCTTTTGAAAATCCTGGCCTTCAGGGTCATGGACCACAGCGTCTTTGGGCTGTCCAGCATCACATCGCCAATCTTGTTGCCGAAGTTGCTGCCCTTGTAGAGCTTGCGGTTCTGCTTGGTCATGGCGTCCCCAAACGGCTCAGCAGTCACCAGTGTCAACTGCTCAACTTGCTGAAACGTCGTTGAGTTGGCCTTGATGTACTGGCGGCGTTGGCGCAAGCTTTCCTCATCGTAAGAGACAAAAACTGTGAAGGAACTCTTGCTCAAAGCGTCTCCGGCAGGAGTCTGAAAGGAACCAAGGACCTTGCTCAAGTTTCCGGCCAAGAAGGAGTCAAAGTAGAAAAACAAGTCACGGTTGTGCAAGCTCAACTGTTGCCGGTCTCTGGACTTGACAACTGACGCAAGGAAAGTTTTGAGGTATGCCTGGTTGAGCGGACACACCCTAATGTGGGGATTCGTCACCGACTCCCCCCACTGGGCTGGGTCAAGCAGGACTCCCACCCACTGACTTCCGCTTCCTCTCACTTGACAAGCAGCTGCTTTGTCAAAGTATGCTCCCAGCTGAGTCTCTGAAGGCTCGAAAACAAACAGCTGGACGTTGGAAGACATGAGGTTGCGAGCCTTATCTTCGTAGAACTGGATCTGCTCCAAGACTTCTTCCTTCTTGATCTCACCAATCTTGGACTGCACATCGGCCAGGAAAGCCTTGTAAGCCATGCTTCTGACTGGCTTGCCTGCTGCCACATCTACATCTTCCTTCTCATCCTGTGCTTCTGCTCTGGCAGCTGCAGATGCTTCAGCACGAGCTTCATCCAACTCTTTGCGCAACGAGTTCTTGAACTCAACAAAGCGCTCGCCCAACTTGGTGTCCAGGTTCAACGTATCCAGGGGGCCTTTGCCTGCGACCATGGCGGCTTTCAAGTTGTCATCGAAGACCGTGCCGAAGACCGAATCCTGACAGAGTTTAGCATTACTGTGATACTAGAAGTGGAAAAAATGAGACGATGCGATGCACAGAAAGCAATCTACAATCCAGAAGTCCTGGATCAGCTGCAAGCAGTGATCAGCAGAGCGTGTCCATCCAGCTTTCCATGAGAGGTCACCTGGAGAGTTGGGGAAGCCCACCTTCGCTCGCAAGTTCTCGTGGGAGGAAAACAGGTCTTTCAGAGCTTGGCGGTACTTCTCAGGCATCTCTTTGGCTTCTGTGAGAAGGAAGAAGTCACCCACGAAGTAATCTCGGAACCTCATCTTGAAAAGGACCAGATCACACAAACCCTTGCCGCCAGTGGCACCTTGACCATTCAGCTGGCGGACTGACACTTCTCCATCCAGGTAACCACAGATCTTTGCATCATGCATGTGGACAAAGAGCCAGGACACCTCTTCAAAGCGAGAAGACTTGGCAACCATGGCGTGCAACTTACTGACTGAGTCCCATAGGCTCTTTCCAGTGGACTCTTCGGCAAGGATCACTTTCAGAATGCTGTCATGGCACAAGGCTCTGTCCATGACCAGTGAAGCGTGGCCCAGGAATCCTGGCAAAACATCATGTTTTTTTCTTATGGATTTAAAAACAAAAAAAATATTTTGGCAGAGACAGGTCCTTTCGTCAGTTTCTCCGATTTGGCACTCAACTTGAGCTTCTTGTCGTACAGATCCAGCAGTGCCTCTGGGGTGTAAGCCACTCCCATGGCCTCACGCTTTTGCATGACGTCGAAAATCCTCTGCGTAGGAGTGCGGGCCAGGAAGGAAAGTTGAGTCTGGTCCTCTCTCAACTGTTGGGCGACCCACTCCATCTCTTGAGAGTCTGCAACTACACGGATCAACACTGGGCAGGCCAGGCAGTGAGTCAACCACTTCTGCAGCTGGTCATCCTGAGCGCCTGCTTCCACATTCCTTGCTTCTGCACCGGCGGCCTCGAAGAAGGCAATGACGGACTCCTCAGCACTGAGACGCTTCCAAGTGCCAAAGGCTGGCACCTTCTTAGAGTCAACTTCTTGCTGCAAGACACCCACAGTGACTTGTTGCTGATCTAAGCCATTGGGCTCAGAGAACCAGTGTGCTTTCACTTGGTCGATGGCTCCCTGGGAAATTGGGATTTGCGGCGTGGCACTGAAACTTTGATCAAGCCACAAAGCGTTCATGAGACAAAGATACTTGCCCTCCCTCTTCAAGGACTCAAGTGCCAACTTCTCATCGTAAGCCTGGCCAAAGCTGTTCTTGCCGGGGCAAAGCAGAACAGCATCCTGAGAAACGCATTGCTCTTTGAAGACCCTGACATTCTCCAGGTGCTGGGTCCACGTGGCGCCATTCAAGGCGACTGCTTGTGTGCTAGCCCCTGGACAGCCACTGGTGGTCAAGCTCGCTATCAAACTCGAGTCCTGGACAGCAGCACTACTCTTCCCCTTGATCTTCTTCTTGCCGGCCGTGGCCTCAGGCAAGGAAGCTTGCTCTGCAGCTGCTCTCTTAGCTCCCTTCGGAGCCATGGCTATCTACCACCGGAGCTAACGCAAGACGACTACTGCTGGGCCAAATCTCTGCAAGCAATGATGAATCAGTGAGTCAGTACAATGAAAGGGCAATACAAAATCTAAAGAAAGACAGGAAGAATCATGTCAAAGAACAGCCGTACTAAAATCGGAGAGCCGTACTGAATTCAAGCAATTTGCAACATTCAACGCGTATTTGACTGCCATGCTCCGGAGCCGTACTAAATTCGAGCGATTTGCAACATTCAACGCGTATTTGGCTGCCATGCTCCGGAGCCGTACTCAATTCAAGTCAACATGGAAGCTACAAGGCTGGGACTGCCATGTTCATACATGGAAAACCGTGTAAGAACACAGCGGGCAAACGCGTATTTGCCTGCCATGCTATCACATGTGAAACCGTGTACTAACACGGCGGCTTCACTTACAATAGAAATCGACTCTGCCATGTTCACACATGGAAAACCGTGTAAGAACACGGCGGGAAAACGCGTATTTGGCTGCCATGGTGTACATGGTGTCACCGTGTAAGACATGGCGGTCACGGCTTCTCATGGAACTAGTAGGGGGTGAATTTAGTACCTCCCTTTTCAGGCGGCGCTGTAGCTCCACTCTTTGCGCCAATCCTTAACTTATTAATCTATATAGACTTAGAAGCTTCACAGCTATGTCTGGACAAAGAGGCTATTCTCAAAGGAGTGTTTCATCCACCTCCTTGGCTTTAGTCTGATAGTGCCAGGAGATGAACCGCTGAAACGTTGTTGAGTTGGCCTTCATGTACTGGCGGCGTTGGTGCAAGCTATCCTCATCGTAAGAGACATATACGGTGAAGGAGTTCTTGCTCAAAGCGTCCCCGGCAGGAGTCTGCATGAGATGCCTTCACACATCTCCTTCTGCCTTGTTCGACTTCAAGCGGACAGGAGACTGCTACAGCCTCCTTGCCGTTTTTTTAACAGGAGACCTTATCAAAGTCTCCTTGGGTTCAAGGGATTTGTTTTAGTACAGGACTTCTGCAAAGGAGACTTATTCAGCCTCACTTTTCGTGACCAGGAGTCGGAATACGCCTCCTTGTCAAAAATACTAACAACTTGAAGTGTTAGAAAATTTGCCTCCTTACCCAGGAGTCTCACAAAGACTTCCTTGACAGGAGACAATTCATGGCGCCCAAGCCCGCGTCCCTCCCAAGCAGCAAGCGCTCCTTTTTTACCTTCTCACTGTTGCTGAAAAACAGCCATGTCATGGTGAGCTTTTAGCTCACCCAAACCCAGGCCCATCTACCTCTTGACGAGCCAGAAGCAGAATGGCCACCATCGTCCCGCCAATCCTGCCATCGATCGCCCTTCCACAACGGATCGGCTGAAGTCCAGTGGCCTTCGTCGTTCCATTCTTCTTCGTCGTCCTCGTGCCACTTTTGGCCATGCTTGTTCTGTGTGGCATGTACGTACCAAATTGGTCTTTTCTTTCCTCGGTTATGCTTCTTTCGACTTTGCTGAGGGTACTTCGAGGCCTTGTGGAGATCCTCAGCAATGGATCAGAAGCGTTGAAAAAAACTCTCAACGACTACCCTGTTCCCCCCCCCAAAACAAAATTGTACTCTGCATACCAAGGCACACAGTCAGTGTTGAGGCAGATGCCTTTTCCTTGGTACGCGGTCTCCTGGCACACACGGCAGTGCCGAAGATCCAGTGTGAGCGGTCGTTTTGATGCAGCTTTGGGCGTCGGTCCGGTGGTATTATCCGGCACTTCCACCACTGTGCCAGATGGAGCTGCAGTCTCCACTGCCGGGGTAGCTTCAACTTCCGCTGCAACGGGAGGAGCAGGAACGCGGCTGTGTGACCGCCTCCATGGTGGTCCTTCTGTTGAACCAGACGCTCCAGGTGCACTTCCAACTGGTGCTGGCGGAGGCAGCCCTCCTGAGGTTGAAGCCACCGCACCATGCGGTGCCACAGGGCCAACAGGCGCAGGAGGTGGCAATCCACTTGCGGCACCAGGAGGACCACCTGCTGACGATCCTCCTTGCAAGTACAGCCAAATCGCCTGAGCCAAGTTGTTCGCTGCATTGGGCCCAGCGCCAGGTGTGAGTGCCACAGGTGGCGGGCTGGGACCTTCACCAGGTCCAGGTGGTCCTGGTTGACCCAGCGCAGCCATCACAACGCAGACCAGCAGCAAGCAGGGCCGGGAAAGCTTCATGGCTATCAGCCGGACACGGGTGAGAGGCTCGGACAGGCAAGACGCTTCGAGCACAAAGAAACGGCTGCGGCGGCGATATGCATAGTGAGACACAGACTCAACGAGTGTTTTCACTTGTTATTCACCCCCTTCAAAAAGAAACAATGGAGAAATCCTTCTACTTACTGTTGGATTCAGGGCTATGCAGTGCGTGCAGCCACTTGCTTCCAATCTGCTCCTTTTTTTTCCTGTGGACATGTGCACTGCGTCGACAGTGATCCTAGTAAGACTCAGCAATGCCAGATCTACTTCGAGACTTATCTTCAGTGCAGAAGACCCAATGCTCGACAGCCTCTGTCAAGCCAGTGAACTGCAGTCTCACTTGGTCAAAAGCTTCATCACCAGCATCGCTTCGAAGAACTATCAGCTGACGAGCTCTTGCCGGATTCAACTTTGCGATGGCTTCATCCAAGCCTGCGCGGTTCAAGAGCTGGAAATTGCAATCTTGGAGTTGAAGGACTTCAGCTAACTCGCGGCAAAGATCTGTGTTATCCCGCACAAATGCAGGTGTCATGAACAGCAGTCTCTTCACCTTGATTGCAGGCTTGAAAGCCAGCGCCACTCCAACTTTGCCTTTGGTCTCGACAAACTTTTCGCTGGCCAGGAGACTGCCCAAGAGACCTGCAAAAAAACGTGTCTTGGGAAGCACATTGAGCGGGTCTTGGCAAGCAATGATCCTGGCTGAATGCAGATCATTGACAATGATGGCGTCACTTGGTGGGTGTATGTTCGGACAGTCTCTGACATAGATCGGATCTGTGTCGCGCCATGCAACCTTAGCAGATGGGTTAAAAATCAAGGGCATAGACTAACATTGAATCTAAAATGGTAAGAGTGACAGGGGGCTGAAAAGAAAAAAATAAAGATATCAAAGCTAAGAAACATCCTTGTTGCTCACTCTGCCCTGGACCAATTTCTGATCATTGTTCCTCTCTCTCTGTGTCTTGGCAAGCTTCGCGGCAGTGGTGGCTACCAAAGCTCTGACCTCATCAGTGATTTCGTGTGGATTCATGACTCCCAGCATAGCCTCTTCAATTTGTGCTTTGCTTTGCTTCTGGGCATTGAAAGCAATTTCTTTGAGATGTTTGTCTCCGAACACTTCTCCGATTTCTTCAGCAGACGTCAATGTCTGAGGCAAGCTAGCTGCTTTGCTGGAACTGCTGCTTGAGGCCAACTCATCGTTGACCATGGCACACCCTTGCAGAAAACCAGCTTCTCCATCTTTTAATTTTTTCCTACAGGGACAGTCTTGGATATATGTCGTGAAACGTGTCATGTGTTCCTATTGTTTCAAAACAAACTCCAGTCCTGGGAATAGATTTGTCCCAGCGCGCAACGCGTTTCTGAGGACCGCTCGCCCTCACTCGGCTGCAGTGGGTCGTCCAAAGTTTTTTTGCTCCTGCAATGAGATTCTTTTCCGCTGCTTCTCCAAAATCTGGGCCAAGTACATCTTGTTGCAACACCAGCATCACTTCCTCCAAGTTTGTGTTATCATCCTGAGATTGGCCCATTTGTTTGAAGATTGGTGCTTTGGGCAGTAGCAAATCCACGCTCAACGCCAGAGGAGCTGCAGCTCCAGCAAGCCAACCGAGCCAAAGCAGGGATGAGTGCCTCTGCAGGATGAACCATGCGAGACTTCTGTGTGGATTGGATCGCTTTTTTCCAAGCTGGAAAATTTTCTAGTCCTTCTACACGAGCAAATTTGCTGGCAATGGGCAGAAAATGTTCGAATTCGTACTTCAAGGATTCCACATCGACGCCAATAGCGCGCGCCAGTTTTTCAAGACAATTGGCTCTTTCGCCGCTTCGCAGTTGAGTCTGCAACCGGCCTTCATCGGACAGGGAAAAGACTCGTAGGGAAGACACCAATTGAAAGTGTGGAAACTCACCTTCAAGAACAGATTCAGCCACCACCACATAGGCTGACATGCGTTTCAAACATTGACGTTTCAGCTGTTCGGTGACTTCATCGCCCCCTCCCAATTTGACACGCACTCCTTGACACATCAGAAGCCGTGGCTCAGACAAGTGCTTCAACATGATCTTGGTCAGACCAACATGCAAGCAATTTCCTTCCACAAAGAGCTTCCTGATGACAGCACGATACCGATCCAGCTCATAAGGAAGTTCTGACTCATCGCACACATCTGTATCAAAGGCTCTCACGACCCTGTGCAGCTCAAGGGCAGCGTCACCAAGCATGCTCAAAAGCAATGCTTTCTCAGGATTCAACCATTGCAAAGTAGCGAGGCAAGCGGCACCTTCAGTGGATGTTCGTCCTCTCATGTCAGGCAATGCGGTCATCACACCAAGGACTGCGTCCCAAGTCAGCACAAGTCGAGCCAACACTTTGGATTCCGAGCTGTACCTTTGAGGCGCAAAAGCCAAATCGCGGATGCTCTTTCCAATGGGCACTTTCTCTTCACTTTTGGCACGAAAATTGGAGTACAAGTCTTTGACAACCTCGCTATTGGTGATCAATCGGGCCACAGAATGGGGCTTCTCGACAAACTCCTCAATGATCTCTTTTAGTTGCGGGTCTGCAGCCCATGGACGACTCAGCATTCTTTGCGCTGCATGCGCACGATCTTTTCCCAGGATCTCAGGGGGAGCAATGCTCAAACATTTCCAAACAAATGCTATCAATCATGTTTCTTGTTTTTTCGACCAACGCGCCTTGAGGTTCTCGAAGGCCTGCCCCATGACGTTCTGGAGCTCCACAATCTCGGGGCCACTGATGCCAGCCAGGTCACGCATGGCAAGCTGCTCATCACCTGCAGCATCAGCAGCCATGCATTCAACTTTGGCCATCGTGGATTTGAGCAAGTCGTAGTTGCACTCCTTCTGAATCTTAGCTCCATCCAGCAGGCCACCGTACGTGGGCGGCGAACTGGGAGTGCAAAAATTCTTCAAAGCCTTCAATGTCATTTGCCTAATTCCCTGGGCGCCAGGAACATCAGGCGATGTAACCACTTTGACCAATTGAAGGGTCCCATCGCACACTTGTAAGTTTGCGTCCACTGCTCGGAAACGAACAAGGAACCTGCGTCCACGTTGGTCTTGGGAAAGAGACAGACAGAGAGCATTCTTGACAGCCTCGCGCTGATGTTCTCGATGCGCTTCGGCCAAACACCAGCGCATCATATGGGCTTTCTTCCTGTTGGCAACATCGCTCACATCGGCTTGCAGGTTACTCGGCTTGGTGTGATTGATGACAGACTTCCACTCAGCAGTGCTGGGTGTGAAACCACCTACATCATCCAATGCAGGTTCTTTGCCACCGGCCATGCTTTCAGCAGTGCGGTGGGCTGGTGACTCAGCATGCTTTCGAAAACGGGTCACGCGAATCTCACCAGTGCTCACTTCATATCTAGCAAAGTGATGTCTCGAGACAGGAAACTTGGACATGACTTCAGGTGCCACTTGCTGAGCGTCATGGCACAGTCGACAGCCTATTCCCCACAAGCCACTATCCAAATTCATCTTGGCGTCCAGCCATGGCAAGTCTTTCTGCCACTTGACCTTGTAGGTCGCCCACTTACATCTGGCACATTTCTGCACACCTAAAGAGCAAGACTTCAGATGCGCTGCATCCTCATAGCCGCCGACCTTGAAGTCACAGTCAGGCTGCTGCTCCATCGTGCAGACTCAGTGCGCTCGATTGAGCCCAAAATTTGCAGAGACAGACCCATCAGAAATTCACTGAAAAGCTTTGACACCCGGTGTTTGCCTCACGAACCCACCTGCAACCTTGAAACAACGATTCTTCGGCTAAGCGCTGTTTGTTTTTTCTGCCACTGTTCCCCCTATGTCGTTCAGAGTGTGCACAACGCAGAATCAAACAATTTTGTTTGATTCAGTAAATTTAAACGATGCTTTTCACAGCATTTGATCAAGGCGTTCGACACTTCAGCTCTTGTTGGATCTTCTTTGCCAAGGCCTTCGCGAGCTCCGAGTCCTGCTTTGCAATGCTGCTTACGGAAAAAGGATTTAAACACCACTTGAATAGCTATATCAATGCAGTACATGCAGCCGAGCTACACACTTCATCAGATAAGCGCACTTCCTGCGGAGAAGCTGCCGCTGCATTTCTTGAGTTTGCGACTCTGCCTGCCATGGCTTTTCAGGGTGGCCAGACACAGTCGCATCCTTGCAGCTGGAGACCACCATCAAACACAGACAGGGGTCTGTTGTTCTCACTATCCGCTTGACGCTGGAAAACACACCTGCTGTGACACATGGATTTCAAACACAACTCTTGTTGACAAACCATGTCAAGCCCGTGGTAACTCTAGAAGCTTGCAGCGTGCAGAGCAAAAATCAAAACTGCGAATGGCATTGAGCTCATGAGGCTGTGCCTCCTTGGCCAAGACATGTTAACCATTGATGAATGTCAATGATCCTTGCTCAGGAGGGTGAACCTCCTTGGTCAGGAATGTGAAACATGTCTATGATCGCTGATGACGGAAATGTGTTTATGATCCTTGCTCAGGAGGATTACCTCCTTGCTCAGGAAATAGAAACTGATAATGGAAACAATGGCAGGTAATTTTTGCCCAAAAAAATCTGATCAAAATGTATTAAGCATTGGTGTGAAGCACTCATGTCAACATATGTTTCCAACCATTACTCCGACCATATGCAGTTTCTTTTGATGTGCAATGGTGTGAGCCTATTCAAACTTTAAACGTGTGAACAAACATGTGTGAAACAAAGTGTTTGATCCAAAGTGTGAAACAATGCTAAAATGATTTTGTAATAAAATATTATGAATGACTTGTAACATCTTGTAACATGTTCAAGAACTACCTGTATAACCTTGTCTTAAAACATGAGAATGGCCATCAATCAGCTCAAAGGACCTTACTAAATCCAGCCCAGGCTGTGGCGGCCGACGAAGGCCTTGTATGGCTTCAGAAAGAGCCCAAGGTTGTGGGGAAACCACAGGGATTCCACGATGAGGAAGATGGAAGTCCCATATGAAGGGAAGCGACACAGCTTGACACAGCTGGTGTCGGAACCCAACCTCTGGAGGATAGATGAGGTGAAAGATGAAGATGAAGAAGAGGAGAAGCCGAAAGGGCCTCCAAAAGCCTTGATGATGGTCTATGTGGACGACTTGTTCGCCACAGGTCCAACACAGCTTCTGAAGGCGCTGACTGAGACCATCAAGAAGGAGTGGAACACCTCAACTCCAGAGTGGATCAATGAAGATCCCACAAGATTCCTCGGCATGGGAATCTCCAAGACCAAAGGAGAGGATGGTCTTGAAGTCTGGGCAGCATCCCAGCAGGACTATGTCAAGGAGTTGCTGAGGAGGAACGTGGGGGAGGATGAGAAGAAATGGCCCAAGAGAAAGGTGCCAATCTCCAAGGATCCACCGGCTGAACACCAAGAAGAGCCAAAGGTGGAAGGAGTCAGGAAGGCCCAGAAGATAGTGGGCGAAGCACTCTGGTTAGTCACGAGGACCAGACCAGACATGATGTATGCCTTGGCGAAGATGGCCAGCCAAGTGCTGCATCAACCCCAGTGGGTCGCAGAGAGCGCATCCCAACTGTGGGGATACATGGCTGCCACGATCCATGAAGGGATCACCTTTGAGAAAGGTCCATCATGGGAAGGATGGGAAGAGCAGTCAGGGCTTGCTGTTTATGCTGACGCAAGCTTCGCACCCTCAGGAGAAGAAAGTCACGGTTCAGTGATTGTGACTCTGAGGGGAGCCCCGCTGTTATGGAAGAGCTCAAGGCAGTCGACGGTCAGCCTGAGCACAGCGGAGGCAGAGTTGAACGAGCTCATAGAAGGACTGATGATGGGGGAAGGTGTTGCAGCGATTTTGGAGGAGCTGGAACCCCACATCATGAAGATGATGGCATCAGACTCGCAGGCAGCGGTGAACATCTGTCTGGCAGAAGGAGGAAGCTGGAGGACCAGACATCTACGCTTGAGAGCAGCGCATGCCAAACAGAGATTCACCAAAGGAGACTGGCTGCTGCGACACTTGCCAGGCGAAGATATGCTGGCAGACATTGGGACGAAGAGCCTGACGTCAGCCAGGCTGGAAAAGCTCAAGAAGGGGCTTGGCATGAAGAAGATTGGAAAAGATGAAGAGAAGAATGAGGAGCCAGAAGAGAAGACGGCACCAGAAGAAGAAGAGAAGATCAAAAAGAAGGAACAGGGGACCAGAGTCCCAAAAGAAGTAGAGAAGGCACTCCAGTGCGTGGCGTTGATGATTGCCATTCAGGGAGCCAAAGCTCAAGATGATGAGGAGACCGAAGAAAGGGCAGAGATGTTCCACATTGAGCTGATTCTGATGTTCGCTCTTGTGGGAGTGGTCTCAGTGATCCAGAGGATCATCCCTTGTCTGATGGGCTGGCTTCGGAGAGACCGACAGCCTGAGGAAGAGCCCACAGAAGAAGAAGGAAGCAGGGTGAGAGGAGCACCCACAAGACACCAAGAAGAACAGGCGTTGAGGACCCCAGAGAGCATCAGGAGGAGAAGGAGAGTGGAAGCCAGGGATGATGAAGACACAGAAGAGGAGACAGACCCAGGCGTTCCATTCCCTCACGGAGATCGTGATGGGAACCTCTTCCTGAGGAATCCGCCGGGCCCAAAAGCACCGCCAAGACAGCTGGCACACATGTATCCCATGCCAAAGGGACAGCAGAAGGGCCAGCAAGCAGGCCAAGCAGGCACACAAGCAGGCCGACCAGGCCAACAGGCAGGCCAACAGAAAGGCCGCCCACAACAGGCAGCTAGCAGCAGCACAACACCGGTGCACATGCTTGTGCCACCACCACCACCACAAGAGCCAGGCGCAGAGCCACCACGGCTGGTGGAAGAGTTCTTCCAAGGACTCGTACAAGAAGAACATGAGCACCCAGATGATTGGGACCCGGAGATCCATGGGCAGATTTACCCAGGGAAGGGAAGTCCACCACCGGCATACTTCCAAAGGATGGCCGAGAAGGGTCAAGCCAAAGGGAGTGAAGAAGGAACGCCGACGAAGGGCGCCAAGAAAGGAAAGAAAGGTGATGATGAGATCGCGCAGGCCAAAGGCGCGAAAGGAGAAGGAAGCCCACAGAAAGGGGCACCCAAGGGCCAAGGAAAGAAAGGCCAGGCAGAAGGTGAAGAAGTCCCAGAGAAGGGAGCACAAAAAGGAGGAGGAAAGATGGCCGAGAACGGCGAAGGAGATGACGAAGCAGCACCTCCAAGAGTGCCAAGTGACGAACATGGCGTGGCACTGCCGGTGTACATCACGCCATGGGGCACAAGATTCCACACAGGGGTCACCTGCCCGACTTTGGCGAACTCTGGATGGATGGTGAGGTCGCCGTGGTGCCCTCTGTGCTGTCTCGGCCTCCAGCCGAGCTCCGCTACCATCCTCTACTCAGAGGGACCGGGGAGAACGGTGCATAGCTGACGAGAATGCGCTGGGCCGATGCAAGGCTACCCCATGTGCCAACGATGCGACGAGTACCAGAGGTACTGAGAGTGGCTTGAGCTGAGGGCACAAAGATGCCGTGCGTAGACCCCAGACCAATGCTGGGTTGCACTGGTAGGTTTTGATCCGGTGGCAGCTGTCACCGAAGATGTCTGGATGGAAATTCCCAGGCATGCACGAAGCGATGGTTCAAGGCCTGACGGTCCAGAACCAGGGGGAGTGCTGACACGTGCTCATACCCCATGCTGTTTTCCAAACATGTTAGTTTTCATGTAGGGTTGACATCCCCTGCATGGTAGCCACTGAAACTCAGGCCCTAGACTAAGGGCAGACGAAACGACACAGGCCCAGGAAAACCCGCTAGGCCGACGCTGCTGGGGGGTTCAGGTGGCCGGTGACCACTAAAAAGAACCCAGATTTAGTTGAATTCCAAACTTCCAAGCCTCAGCAAAAGATGTTGGCTTGTCCAGCCCCAATTTGGATGACCAACCTGGTAACGCAGTTGCCTGGTACATCTTTAGAGTGAGATGAGTGACAAAGTTGTTGGGCTGCCGCTAGTGGAATGAAGCCCCTGCCACTGAGTGTGCAATGTCGGGAAGTGCAGTTTCCATCAGTGGATTTGTTACACGATCATAACGCTAGTTATCGGGGTTACATCCCAACTTATGGGTTTAAAATCGCTTCAAATCCTATGGTTAAAGCCTTTTTTTCCGCTTCAGCTGCACTCCATGGTTCTTCTTCGGATAGGGTCCCCACTTCTTAAAATCACAATGAACCTCTAGTGGATCATCCCACCAACCACTTGTTGAGGACAACCACAACAACAGCAGCAGCATCAACAGCAACAACAGCAGCATTAAAAACAGCAACAACAACAACAAAGTTGGTAGTTAATCATCATAGTAATGTTAATCATCTCTGTAAATCACGTCAATCACCGTGCTAATTATGTAAACAAAAGATAACAAAAGAACTTATTTCCCTTAATCGTCACTTTCGTGAGCATGTGTCATTTGTCTGGGAGTGTTTTGACCTGTCTAACATCCCGGTAATCTGTTTGTTTGTCTATCTATCTAATCTATCTACCTACCTACCAAGGTGGCTTGAAGAAATTTGGCACCCTGGCAAGCATGGACGTCATGGAAAGTGTGCCGACTAGCAACACCCAGAAAAGGGTTTATTGATTTCCAAATATACGGCCCCTCTCTGGAAAACATATTGGATTATATTGGATTTATTGAGTTCCAAATATACCGGTTTATTGATTTATTTCATGTTTATTGAACATCTCCGGGTGTCCGGTTTTTCAACAAATCCACATGAAGCTGCTCTGATAAGGTTTTGAAGAATGAGAAGCTCAAACTGCAAACATGCAAATTTGATACATGTTTTTTACCACCATAAGATGTCCACAGACAACCATCCCAAAACCATTGGTAGGATCAGTGGTGGGTGAGCCCCATTCGTTAAATATCTATATATATATATATATGAATGCTGGGTGGTTCATTGAGTAAGTGGATTAGTTCACCCCAATACCATTTATAGCTATAAAAAAACATTTTGTGGGATACAAACATCCATAAATCCCAGCTATTTCCTATGATTTTACTAGGGGATGATGGGGATGACCATCCCAAAATCCCAGCGATTTTGGTTGGCGTCATCCGGGCTGGTGACGCCAAGCCTCCCAGCGAAAAAGTCCTCCGAGGCGGACCGTCCTATGATTTTTTCGTCGAGGCGCTGGAGACTTGGTCGATGAAGGCATGGACGTGGTGAAACAATCCATAGTGCTTGGTGGTGACTGGAAATGTGGATTAACTATCTGGTTTATGGTAGATTCATATAACGAACTAGTTCATGGGGATTATAATGGTTTATAAACCAACAAACACTGGTTGGTGGTGACTGGAACCATGGAATGGACCATGAAGTTGGTGAACATAAATCCAAGAACTATATGGTTTATGATATTTATAACTATACTGCTTGGTGGTGACTGGAACCATGGAATGGATTATGACTTTCCCATCATATTGGGAAGAATAATCCTAACTGACGAACTCCATCATTTTTCAGAGGGCTTGAAACGACCAACCAGACAAATGGGGATACGCCAAAGTGGTTTATAATTTTATTATATGGATGATTTAGGGGTACCTCTATTTCAGGAAACAATCCAAATAGTGACTCTGGTAAACTAAGAGTTTGCTATGCAAAACCACCATTTTGGATAAGTAAATCAACTATAAATGGAACATTTTCCATAGCTATGTTAGTTTTCAGAGGGTATGACTCAGGTTTAGGACTGTATTGGGATGAGTCAAAACCGAATATGACCATATGACTGGGGAATAAGCATCCGTTCACCAGCTACTTTAGGGTACTTAGGGTTTTGACCCATAACTATATGACTAGGACATACTAGGACTACAGTGATTTGGGTTGAAGTTTGAAAATAGGGTACTTCCCCAACGGGTATGCCCCCAACTACCCTCCAGAAATTCACATAGATCCCGGCAGATAGGTGGTGGAAGGTTTTCACTAAGATCTGGCTTATGTTCTGGATATTTCAATGTTGTTTATCGTCCAATCCCCTACAGCTATGGCCCTGGCCCACACTTGTGGCTAACAAAACCCCCATCAAAAAGCGATATAAAATCAACCAGCTGCAGGACTTCTAATCCCAGTTAGAAGTTATAACTGTTAGTTGGGCCACAACTGGTTGATAGGGGGCACACTCCAAACGTCGGGAGACGATAGTTTCAGTCAACGGCTTAAGGTGGTCACGGAGGAACCGCCTTAGTAAACTTGATAGGTTTCTATATAGTCAGACATAGATTCTTTTCCCAGCTATCAACATCTATGGGGGATGTTCCCATGTTTTTCTCATGATATTTTTCCCCATCTTTTCCCAATGACTTTCCCAGAATTGTCGCATGCTTTTCCCATCGTTGTCCAATGATTTTCCCATGATTTTCCCATGATTTTGCCATGATTTTCCCATGATTTGTGCATATTTTCCCATAAGAACATCTCAGTTTTCGCCATATTTGACAGCCCTTTGTCTTTGTTGGGTTTTTGTTCGCCCGAGGAGTGCATCCAGCCGAACGTGCCTACAGCGGGGATGCCAAGGGATGAACCAAACGAACTGGAAAATCACCATTTTTCATGGGAAAATCCACTCTTTCGACTGGGCCATGGCTTCAATAGTTTTCTGTAAACGTTTACCAGAGGCTACCCCGATTGCACTTTGAAGGATTTTTTGCTGATCTTCCTGGAGCACGCGGTGACCGTACCACCAGTTGAGATGTTGTCCCAACATCTTGTGGCGGACGAAGTTCTCACTGCAGAGAAGCGCCTCATCGTGTTATGTCATCCAGGACCCCACGAACAAATCATCGACGCCCTCGGTCCTAGCCAGTTGTGGCCAAGGGATGAAACAAATCCTGCAACTAGTTGGTTATATGTCGCCTATATATTTAAGATCTGGTTGGTGGTTTGGAACATGATTTTTTTGACTTTCCGTATATTGGGAAGAATCATCCCAACTGACTTTCATATTTTTCAGAGGGCTTAAAACCACCAACCAGATGGTGATTTTAATATATTAGTGATTTACAGTAATTTATGGTGATTTATGATGTTTTTTTATTGTGATGATAGTGGGAAAATAGAGCATTTATTATGATTTATGGTGATTTTTTTTGATGATGATTATGGTGGGAAAATCAATTGTTTATGGTGATTTATGGTGTTTTTTTTAATGGTGGTTATAGTTGGAAAATAAATTTGTTGTGATTTATGGTGATTTTGTATGATGATTATAGCGGGAAAATCGATTATTTATGGTGATTTATGGTGATTATCGTGGGATTTTCTAGAATCATCGTGGAATTACAATGGGAAATGAGCTTTCCCGGTGATTGAAGACGTCGCGTTTTGGAAAATCCCATGATACTGTAAGGTTGGAGGTACTGGGAGTTGCATCCCACTTCGTAAGTGGCTAAGAACATGCGGTTAACCATATTCCTGGGTTTCTTTAAGAGTTAGCTGCCCTGGAAAGGATGGAGTTTCCATTGCCACTTCGATTTTGTTGAAAAATCCAGAAACGAGACACTAGAGAAACGGCCCTCCAATTTTTTGTTTATGCTCCCATCTATGGATATACCCGCAACAATTCCTATTATCATTATCTATATATATCATATCTATATATCTATATATATATATATTATATATATCATTATAATCATTTATAATCCATAAACTCTCCATGTTTCCCTTTGCAAAATAGCCTAATTTTGAAACTCCTGTATCGTTCAGTGCTTCAATCATCCCGTAGGATCTGTTTTTTTTCCAAGGGCTTGGTTCACAAAGGATTGTGATTTTGCAGAGGGAAACATGGAGAGTTTATGGACTATAAATGATTATAATGATATATATATAGAGATATATAGATATGATATATATATAGATAATGATAATGATATATAGATATATGTTTTTTTAGCAACTTGATATGATAATTGATATTTGGGTGTGTCTGTTTAGGTATACGGTATACGCATAGAATTTTTATGCAAAGGGGAACATGATGATCAACTATTGGATTTTGGGCGCAGCCTTGGTTGGGACACATGTTGCAGAAATTCGATGGTGACTATGGCCGTGGTTCCACATTGTGAGGCCTTTTTTTGTAGAAAAAGCAGTGGCTAAACCTTGGCTGGGTTGTTCACAGTAATATTACCAGCTTGTTCTTTGCAATGGGAATAGATGTGCTCACCAGCTCCAAAACAAATCTTTTGAAGGATATCTATTAGCTTGGAAACGTGCTATTTTACTATTGTTTTACCATCTGCATATTTAACATCGCCATGGAAAATCACCATTTTTTATAGGTAAACCATCTATAAATGGGCCATCTATACCATGGCTATGTGAGTCATAACCAGATGGTCTTGTTTTATTGGTGAAGTCTGGTCATCGGCAAGGTGAAAATTGCAGCAGATTATGCGACGGCCGGGTCCAGGCTCGGCAGAAGATTCATTTTTTTGGGAACTGTAGGGGCTGGATTATTGGGGATTACTATAATCGTCAATGGGAGATCTTCAGGATCCTAAAATGGAGGTACGTAAACGTACCATATGTTTGGCCATATCTTGTGGTGATATTCACTGAAATTTAGGCCTTATATAGGCCTTATATATGGTAGGTACCTCCATTTTAGGATCCTGAAATTCCTATTGATAATCTATAATAGAGAAAATCATGAACCAACTGCAAAAATGGTATTAAAATATTGAGTATATCTATAATTATACATAAAAAAGTAGAGAAAATCATGAAACATCATTAGCCAACTTGAAAATGGTATTCAAAATATTTAATATCTATATGCAATATAATAGAGACAATCATTGGCAAACCATAGTATAATCAAATATTATAGAAATAGAATCATGAGGTATTTAGATTATTAGGGATTCAGAGGTATTGTTTAGATTATTAGGGATTGCTGCTATAATATCTACAATAGAGAAGATCATTGACCAACTATAGATTAAATATTGTAGAGATAGAATAATGAGATATTATCTAGATTATTGGGGATTGCTATAATATCTATAATAGAGAAAGTCATTAACCAACTAGTACAATGAGATATTACGGAGATACAACTACAATCTATGAGTTTCGTACAGCAGTTCCATAAACAACCAATGTTTTGGTGTATATCACCCATAAAAATGGTATATTTGGGGATGGCGGATCCTATTGCTCTACTCAGATTATTAGAAAATTATGAACCAACGAGTATTATGGCACCATAGAATTCCCATTAAATCACCATACAATTTGATGACATAGAGGTATGTTTCATGGTTCAGATGGTCTTCGGTCAAGTCCCGAAATGACCTCGTCCCGAAACTCACGGCGCCTGACCTGACCGAAATTTGGATGGGATGGGTCGAAACTTGCTCTTATACGGAGGAATCAACAAAGTTTTGCCAACAAGAATATAGGTAACAGAGAAAAACACACTAGAGTTTTTGGTAGCGGAAATGAAAAACATATGGCTATGGATCAATACCTATAAGTACCATTTTTAGGGGGATGAGCATCCATTTACCAGCTATTTTGATGTTCACCAGGGGTACAAGGCTTTGACACACTGCCATATGACTGCTCTTGAACTGCTTGACTTTGAGAGCCCCCTCCAGCTTCGTGAGCTCGAAGCCGGACTGGCTTCGTGATTCGTCGCTATTGTTTTGTATGGCAAAGACCCTATGCGGGTGGTACGGTAAAAGGACGGTATGTATGGCGACGAGCATTGCAAAAGGATTGATTGGGAGATTCAAAATACAGGTTGCAAAATACACCTGTTTAGTATATATACAATGTGTGCCCCCCCCAGTGATGTTTGTTGGTTTTATAAGCCCCAGTAACTATAGTTATAAGTACCATAAACCATAGTTATTGGAGTTATGTTCACCAACTTAGCTATCTTGGGGGCCTCACATTGTATGTATTATACGGGTTCGTTTCATGGATTTCTGATTCTGTAGAGAACGACCTCACTGGCCGACCGACTGCCCTGCCGAAGCATAGCACAGCAACGGGTTTTTTCGGCGAAGCGGACCACCTGGGTCACCTGGTCATGAGAGATGGCAGCACCCAGCATTGATACAGGAACTTGGTGGTTCATCCCAGGAATCGTAACCCATATGCTCCATGTATAGTATATTTACCTACATTTGGGTGATTATTAGGGCAAATGTAGGTAAATATACCATACATGGTGCACAGGGGTAAGTGGATTATAACCCCAGTTATAAGTGAACCTTGCCCCTACTTAGCGCAGTTATAACCAGGGGTATAACCTACTTACTAAGTGGGGGTGAACCACCAAGAAGGGGGCCCCCGTTTGGACAGTGTTTGTTGGTTTACAATTCCAACTACAGTGGATGGCAACGCGAAATCCTGCGCCAGTTGATAGGTGGTAAACATCCCATTATTTATGGGGTTTCAACCATCCGTTTGGTGATGCAGGATTTCGCAACCATCCACAGTAGTTCGATATATCCAAGACCTAGTTATTATAGTTATTTGCACCAATTTAGCTGACTATTAGGGGTCCCTTCTAGATGATGTTTTTCCGTTGGAGCCTCCATTTTTTCATGGCTCATGCAATGGCGTTTCTGCACATCACCAGTGGGATGTACAGAGTAGCAAAGCCCATTATTGCCATGGGATGAAATAACTAACTCGTGCAACTGGTTGGTTGAAATTTTAAAATAAGGTCTTTTCAGCCAGTTGTATATAGCTATTAAAGGCCATAACTGTAGGAGATTATACATCAACCAATATGTTTAGATGATCACAATCCATTTCGTCTCAAGTTCGTGACTAGGAACATCCACATGCCCGCCAGGGCTAAGTTTCCCAGCAGCGACTACACCGCGTGCGTGCATGACGTGGCAGTGGGAAATTTGGATATGTGCGTGCCTGGGCGTTGTGGGCAGATGGGGTGCAAAGTTGGGGGGAGTAGATACAGTAGCCAAGTTGGTTAATAAATCCAATAATTTAACAATGGTTTAGGGTACTTATAACCATAATTAGTCAATTCGATTTGTAAACAAACTTATATATATATATATATATATAGCTGGGGGGCCGCACAGTGTGGGAAGGAAGTCCAAGTGCATTTCTGTTACACGGAGATTTTTGCAACCGAATCGCATAGATGGTTTCACAATGTGATATGGTCAAAAGATGGATTGTTTTCCCAGATTGGTGGATGGTCATCAGTCCGTTTTCAAAGTTTATATAATATGTTATTATTATTAAGTATTATTTTGAATATTATCATTATTATTTTTATTATTTATTGTTATTTTATGATTTTTATTTTTATTATATATGCACCATACTATGGATATACTGTGGAACGGACAACGATAAACCACACACCATCTTTTAACCATGGCACGTATTCTGTGATGCTGCTGGTATTTTATTCGGAGATGATCCTGGCAAGCACCAAACTTTATTTGATGACATTTTTTTACACTCGCTACAGATTGCCTTCTGATATGTTTAGCGAATATTTGGGATAACAATGGAAACTCCCCTCATTA